TCCTGAGTCCCATCCACAACCTTGTGAGGTGAGACATTCCCACTAGAAAGGACAAGCAGACTGGAACAGTTACAGTGACAGAAGATACATCTTCATGATGAACCTGACCTATACTCAGAATGGTAGTTACTCTAAATACCAACAGAAGGGAAAGAGTCTTCAAATCAAGTATCAATGCTATCTGCTCTCTGCACAGGGTAGATAGGGATGGGCAAGTTAGACCTCAGCTATCTAAACTGAGGGGGCAATAAAGGCACAAGTGACTGGCTTACAAGGTTTCAAGAGGGAGCTTAGTTTAAGAGTGTGGGGGGAAAGAAAGAGTCCTCACTGAATAGCTATCATCTTGTCTAGATGGGTCTGGTAAAAGGAGATGGGGATAAGATTCATAAGATTCAATAGTGAATAACTGTTATCATGACTAATCGCAAATGTCACACTTGTAAAGGTAGAATTTTTGTAACAAAAAAAGGGGAGTGGTTAATCTTATATTCCAGAAATAGAGGACCCTAGGACCATCAAGAGAGGACCACATCCAGAGAAGCAGCAGCACCAGAGATGGAGGCAGAGATGGGGCATGGAGAGGGGGAGCGGCTGAGGACTCTAGATTCATCAACTAAGAAGAGAAGGACTAAGAACTGGTGGCCAGGAGCAGACTGCAGAATGTGCCCTTTGGAGATGTAAATTATTATATATGCCTGAGTGGTTTTTTTTGTTTGTGTGTTTTTTAAAAAGCTAAAGTGGATAGAAAGAAATACTTTTAACTGATGGTATATGGAGGGGATTATAGTCAATGTAATGAAACAAGTTATATATGAATTGTTGAGTGTGAAACTGATGATGTGCCCTGTAAACTTTCACTCAATCCATAATAAAAACCTTAAATTTAAAAAAAAAAAAAAAAGCTTGATGAGTTGAAATGGACTGTATGGTAGTTTTGTTTGTTTTTAAGGCCATCTCATTTCCTCAGCTTTTCCTTTTCAGCTTTTTGGTCAGTCTCTGGTTAATGCAAACATGCTCTGCTGCTAACTGAAAGATTGGCAGTTTAAGTCTACCCAGAGATATCTCAGAAGAAAGCCCTGTTAATTAACTTCCAAAATATCCACCAATGAAAATCCCAATGCTTCATGGTTTGTCATGAGTTAGAATTGCTTCTATAGCAACTGGTTTTTATTGGTTGGTCCAAATGTTTTCCAGTCCCTTAGTGGTGGGGGTTAAGTTAAAATGCCATATAGCTCCCTGTTTTAGTGGAGAATCAACCATTTTCCTTAACTAAAATATTCCCCATGTTGCTGCAAGCCTTTGGCTATTTTCTAGTTTTGAAAAGTTGATTCTGTCTATTTTTCCAAGCTCCAAGATTTTTCTTGCTATTATGGAGGGATGAAATTTCAGAGGTCTTCCTCTGCCATTTTTGCCTTTCCTTTGTGTTTTTGCAAATGTGTTTTCTTGATCCCAGGGTGGGGAGCCCAGGGTGGCCCTCACTTCCATCTCTGTAATACGAGGACTATAGAGTAGGGAGCGATGTTGTACAGGGATTTGGGATCTTAAGTTTTTTTGTATTGGTAGCCTCTGGCAGCCCCTTATACAGTAACTATTTATTGAATTGACTAGTGCTTTCAAACCTTGGAATTAAACTTCATTGACAGATAATATACAAGAAAGACATCTATTACTTCAGGCTCTTTCCCAGGTCTATGTGTAGCCCCAGGAACCCTAAATGTTCCTTCCTTTGGACAATTCTGGCATGGGATAAGATTATTGGGTTCTAGAGTTCAGGATTTCCATATGGAAGGGAATGGATGGGAGAGGAAGGGGGCCTTAGGCCCTAGGGCTATTGCAAAGTTTCTATGAAAACATTCAGCTGACCACGGTAGAGAATAGGAGATGTTCTAGGTACTTTTTTCAATTTGGCTCCTCTAGGCTTAACTTCTGTATGTACTCTAGCCCTTGGAGCTGCCTTTAAAAAAATGTTTTTTGAATTGATTAGCTCTTGGTAACTTTGAAATTGAGCTGCATTTATAAATTATATTGCACTGAGTGCTTGTGGAGTCCTGGTGTGACACTGTAGGACAAGAACTGGGTTGTTAACCACAAGATCGGCACTTCAAACCCACCAGCCGCTCCTCAGAAATTCTATACAGGGTTGCTATGAGTTGGTACTGGAGTCCTAGTGTGGTGCTATGGGATAATGCACTGCACTGCAAGGTTGGTTTAAACCACAAGGATGGCGGTTCAAATTCACTAGCCACTCCTTGGAAACGCTGTACACGGTTGCTATGAGTCAGAACCGACCTGATGACATCTAACAACACCAACAATGAGTCAGTACTAACTCGACAGCACTTAACAACAACAACATTTCTGTAGTTAACAGGGTTTGAAGCTGGCCTCCAGTTTGGATAATGGATACTATACCATGTATGGATTTGCTGGGTTATGTGTGCTCTTGGATTTGTGAACCCTGCAATCTGAGTGCCCAGTGGAACTCGTCCAAGATTTCTTTCCCACCCTAGCTAAGGAGAACTAGTGTCCTGCTGTCTGGAACAAGTACTTCATACATCTGTATCTTTGTACTTTGGAAGGGAGAGGAAGATACCACTCATGTTTTCTGACCTTACTAGAAAGGGTTTGCAAGGTGATGAGTCCTGGAGTTAAAGATTTCTGGGAGTGCTGTGGACCCTTATTTTATCACCAGCCACCTGGATTGCTTGACCACTCTGACCTTATGTGTTTGCACTTGGATCATAAGACCCTGCTAATCTCTAGGTAAACACTTATGTGCATTGGTGCCTTCCTGGCGGTCTTATATGGACCCTTGTTACTTCTGCTCTCTGGCAAGCTGGGGATGGGAGGGAACCACTCTTCTCTAAGTTTTACAAGTGGGTCCCTTTTGGAGTGCCTTGCTAGTTGTTGGTTAGACTCTGAAGATAGTCTGCCTTGTCTGGGTCTAAGATACCATCTGCAGTGACAGGGATCTCAGGTAAGGAAACAAGACAGAATGTGGCACCCTCTGGTTCCCTCCTTAGCCTGTAACTGTTTCTAGTATTCCAAAATTGACTACTGAGCCCCTACTGCCCTCCTCAGCTGACTGCTAGGATGTACAGAGGCTTAGTGTTTTTTCCTATGCAAGTGGCAGCTTGAGACCACCTGGGAATCTGTCCTATCACTATTTACCTCACCTCAGTGCTGTTTGGGACCGTCCCAGCCTAAGTCCCTTATTCCACCTGAACCCAATCCTGGGAGTCTCCACTTTGGCTGTGCTGTCCTCATGCCTCCAAGAACAATATCCCTTCTATTTGGAATTGACTTCATTGCCCTTTGCAGACCCACGTATGTAACTTGAACTCCTGTCCAGAGCTAGGAAGCGGTGGGGGTCACGAGGGACCTGCCATACAGGGGATGGTGTAGCACTGTGCTCTTCCCAGGGACAACCACGGTACTGCCCGGCCTAACACCCCCAATTTTTGCCTTGCTGGGATTGGTGGTCCAAGGACCCCTTGCATCTGATCTGTTTGCCCTGGGAGGAGGCAGCAGCACAAGAAACAGAGGCAGTGAAGGACCAGGCAGAGGCCCCATGGCGGCCCAGCTGTTCATGCTCACCAACTCTGGGCTGTACTGTGGCTGCTAGAACCCATGCAGCTCCCTGTCTCCTGCTGCCACCCCAGGGTAGGTCGCTGAGAACTGACCTTGTCGAGGACAATGCCCGGAAAGCAACGACCTCAGGTCTTTTCCTCGGGAAGCCTCTCCTAGCCCTTCTGACTGCGGCTCGAGATGGAGAGACTGCCAGTCAAGTGTGCTCAGGGTCTGGGGTAAGGGTAGAGGAAAGGGTCAAGGGTCAGGGTGGAGCTAGCCTCTCAGGCAGGAGGCCTGGACTGAATACTTGGAGAGCATGTTCTTGAACAGGGTAAGTTGAGTATGGCATATTAACAATCGGCTTTACACACTGGGGTGTTTTTATTGTCATCACTTTATAGATGAGGCTCAAAGTGGTCAAGGAGCCTTTCACATCACAGAAAATGGCTAAGCAGGGATTTAAGCCCAGTTTGGACTGGCTCTAAACCCCTAGCAGCCTTTTACTTAGAAACTTTTAGTGTAGACAAGTGAGGGAAGTTTTCTTCAAGTCTTGCAAGTGTGGCCTGGGAGTTCATAACAGGATGAGCTAATTTAGGGGTTAGCTAACCGGAATAGGAGTGGATCAGGGGTTCAAGGAGGAGAGATTCCTGGACATAGAATAGTGCCAGGGTGGAAATGTCCAGGAGAACAGTGGCAAGAAAGCAATGAGGGCTGCTGGCTTGAGGTCATTGGCATGGAAGTGACAAGTGAAGGGGAAAGTATAGAAGTCAAGAGTGTTGATGTTGAAGTGGGTGGTGAGCCATAGAAGGAGACCAGAGTACCAGTCCCAGCAGTAGGAAGAGGCGATGAAGGCTCTGAGCACTCTAGAGAGGAAAGACAGTTTAGGGGCTAAGGTTGTCCAGGGGAAACATGACTACCAAGATAACCTGAGGGCCTGCTTGAGTGCAATGTGCAATGGCAGGGAGGGTCCCAGGGGTGGCAATGGTGGTGGTTGGGGGATTGAGCCACTGAAATGCCCGGAGTTAAGACCAGAGGAAAGGAAAGGTGTTTGGGAATGGTGTGGGGAGCAGCAGCTGAGGGCAGCTGTGTGGGAAGACCTGCTACCTGGTGAGCTGTACTGGGCATTGCAGACCATCATACAATGGGGGCATGGAGTGGGTCCCTAGTTCAGGAGAACAACTAGCTCATCTGAGCATGACTGAGATGAATGCCAACCCTTCTGTTCGGCCTCTCTTCACTACTCCAGTGTCTGTGGCATGAGCAGAAGGCACAGTGCCAGGATGAGGCTGAACAGGCTGGCAGGGTGAGTGTCCAGAGCACAAGGTCCAGAGAGTGATTTAGACATAAGAACATGGCAAAAATTCAAGGAGTACAAGTAAGCATAATAAGGGGAACCAGGCTTCAGGAACATTCCATGCATGTATATCCATAAACCATTTAGATTACTTTTTATTATTATTATTAGATTGTTTTTTATGTGAACTACCAGTCCATGTCTTCATCCCAGTTTTCTGTTGAATTGACCTTATGGCATGTTTAAAGGCAACAAAGCCTTCTAGAGCAAAATATGCAGTTAGGATTTCAGAACAAGCTCTGCAATTTCAGAGTTTTCACATGGATTCTGAATATTTCTGATAGTGTAGTGGCATCATGTGTCCAAGATAGCTCATTAGTTTCCTAATGTTTTGTGAGATAGTCATAAGGCTGTTTTTACATGAGTTCCAGTTCACTGTGTGTAGCCAGGTGATCCCTACTTCTAACCTTGAACCAGCCTTGGACCTCAGCATCAAGAGTTGTATGGGACCTGATGCTAAAGGAGGGAAGGCATGCTCCTGGATGCCAGGAATATTAGTTGTTCTTGTGGCTGTCTCCCAACCTTAGAGGTGGGTGTTGTTGGCCCATTTTACAGATGAGGAAACTGCAGCTCAGAATTCTTTGTTCTGTCAGTGAGTATGAGAGCCAAGGTTGCAGTTTGGTTTGCCTGGCTGCAGAGCACATGCTGTTAAGACCTACTCCTACCAGGCTGACAAAACCTCAGTGCTTGACCCTCTCTGGCCAGCCCCTGCCTGTCCCTGGGTTTTCACAGCTGTTTTTCTGACTCCAGTGAGTGAAAGAGATAGGAAGGAGGATCGTCCTGGATTGTGAAGAAACCAAGAGTCTCAAATGACCTTGATTATGTGATGTCACTAGGAGCTGAGGGGACAGAAGAACATATGGTTCCACTCCTATGTGGCCCCCAGCAAGTCACTGAATCTTCTGCTCTTCAGTTTCTTCATTCAGGCACCCTTCACCCCACCCCAGAGCTAACACTGTTATAAATGTCAGGATGTCTTGCAGCAAGTTGGATTGTGTTGGTTGTCAGAATGAGAGCATTTTGGGGTATGGGGGAAGGGGTATATAATGGCATGTATGGCACTGTAGGCTAAACACTCGACCCCAAGGTTGGTTCAAACTTACCAGCTGCTCCTTGGAAACAGTATACAGGGTTGTTGTGAGTCGGAACTGACTTAACAACAACAATATAAGAAGTTCTGGGGGTTGGCTTCTGGGCAGGGGTTGTGCCCTTGGCAGTATGTGGTATGTTGTCCAGCTAGGGCAGGGGTGGTACTATCTCTTCAGGAATAACTGGGCAGACCTAGTGTTCCCCATTCTGGACTGGAATATGTGAGAGAAGACTTGGAATGACCATGTCTCTGGCTGTTTACACTTGCAGGGAGTGCAGGCAATCTTCAGACCTTCCTTTGAACAAGTTGTGCCGGAGGGACTCTGGAAAGCTCCCTGATTCAAACTTTCAGAGTTAAGTCCCAGAGTAAAGATGAGCAAAACCACTCCATTTATCCAATGCTTGCCCTGCTGGGGCCCTGTTCTGTGTGGTGTACATGCTTTATGTCATCCATATGTCACTTACTAGGGGTACACCGCTCTATAAGGGAGGAAATGACTCCAGACCCATGGGCAGTGGCTCTGGAGCTGCATTTATCTCTTCTACACTGCTGCCCCATCCTACCCCAGGGCACATTCTGGATGGTACGGTGGGCCAGTGCATTCAGACACCTGCCCATCCATTCCTCTGCCTCTTAGACCAGCAGATTGAAGTCGTTTCCTTATAATTCCTGTGAGTTTTCCTGGGCAGCCATGGAATCTTTGTGTTGGAAGAATGCTCCTTAGAAGTATTCATCTCACATATTATCAGGAGAGACCAGTCCGTGATCTGGTCTCCCTGATCTGGAGAAGTACATCATGCTTTGTCCTTACCCTTACCCTGCACCTCTGAATTCTCCTGATTGGCAGCCTCTCCATCATGGCCACAGTCAGAAGGACTAGGAGGGTCAGCGAAAAAGAGGAAGACACCCAAGGAAATGGATTCACACTGTGGCAGGAGCAATGAACTCAAATGTTACATTTATGAAGATGATGCATGACTGGGTGGTGTTTCATTCTATTGTGCATAGGATTGCTATGAATCAGAACAGACTTGATGACACCTAATAACATCATCAACAACAATAAGCACTTGGTCCAGGGGCAGTGGTCCGGGTTTAAGAAGCAGTCCAAGACTCTGGGTTCTTTGAGTAAGGAAGTCCAGACAAGAGTCTCAGGATTTCCTGTCAATTTCTGATTTCTTTAAGCACTAGCAAGGCATTCAAGGGTTTGTTCATGGCCAGATACTGGAATTTCCTCCCTGTCACTTGGGGCATATATTTCGGGAGAGAAAGGAATGTTGTCAGGAAAGAAAATGAGGCTTTACAAGTGTTGTCCAGCCCAGGCCCCTGTGGCAGCAGCCAGGAGAAGTCAGCTTCTGACCCTTGTGGGTCCCTGACCTGCTTCATGAGACCAGCTGGCCATTGAGGGCTGGGAAATTGTGTTGGGTGCTGAGTTTCCCTGCCATCTTGGCTCTCCCCAACTCCTGCTGCCACACTCCAGTCCCATTCTCAGCATGGATGGACAGGAGGTGGCTGGGGTCTCCAGAGCACACCTGAGACCAGTATGCCAAGTGCCAAGTGGTTCCTAAGCAGGGAAGAGACAAAATCCTGCCCAGGTGTGCCCTGCTCAGTTTCTGGTCTGTCTCTGTGGAACAGCAACCCCTTCTAAGACCTATGGACTACAGCCCACAGCTGGGCCCACACCTCTTTTTCCCTTCTACCAGGATTCATCCAGCTTAAGGAGCCCTTCTTCTGTGATGACATTCTCAAGCAAGACTTCCTTGCTCTCAAAGGGGAGGCTCTCCCCTGTACTGTACGCTTGACTTTCACCTGTACCTTGGTACTTTGACCTTTGGTAGACCACAGTCTTGCACTGTGTTCTCTGTACATGATAGCTGCAGGAGTATGTGGCAGCCATGCCAGTGACTCAAGCAGTATAATGAGCAAGTTCCCACAATGCCAAGGCCACCTTTGGGTAGCAAGAGTGACCTTCCCTATCCTGGGAAGCACTTTAGATTTTTACGAAGAGGAGAGCCTGACCAGATGCCCATCTACTAACCCCTCAACCCTAACCTAACCACTTCTCTACCACCCACTCCCTGCAGCAACATGTCCAATGCCTTGGCCAATGCCATGTGCCAGCGCTGCCAGGCCCACTTTGCCCCTGCTGAAAGGATCATCAACAGCAACGGGGAGCTGTACCATGAACACTGCTTCGTGTGCACCCAGTGCTTCCAGCAGTTTCCTGAGGGGCTCTTCTATGAGGTGAGGATATGTGGGACATTGTGGGTACTGGGGCCCTTTGATGGGTTGGCTTCTCAGACTCTGAGGCGCAGACCCAGCTGTCGAGCTTGCCACAGATTGCTCTGGACCACGCTATTTGGTGAGGCTTTGAGCCCAGTTTTGCCTCCTACCTGTGCAGAACCTGCTCCTCTGGTTGCCATGGTACAGAAGGAGAATTGTCTGTTCATACACCTTTCTCTGGGGGCTCTAGAGGTACAGTGGCCCTGCCCTTATGGCACCTCATCTTCATGGCAATCCAACAGTAAGTGTAAGTGTGTATCAGATGGTGCTGAGTACTCTTTCAGAAAGGAATCTCAGGTTCGGGAGGGTGGCTGGTGAGAGAAATACCAGCAGAAAAGATCTGCTTGAGCATTCTTGAAGGAGATGAGATCTGCAGGAAAAGCACTCAGCAGAGGACACAGCCAGTGCAAAAGTGCTGAGGTGGCAGTGGGTCTGGGGTGCTGGAGGAGCAGCAAGGAGGTAAGTGTGATTGAGGCAGAGAAAATGAAGGGAGGATGACAGGAGAGGCGGGTGGGGGCGGCAAGAGGAAGATCTCATGTGGCCCTGTGACTTGTGAATAGCTATAGACCTCACACTGGACTGACATTTGAAAAGGATCTCTTAGGTTGCTGTGTTGAGGTTAGAGTATAAGGGGACAGGGACAAAAGTGAGAGACCATGTGGGAGGTTATTGCAATAATCTAGATGATAATGGAAGGGCCTCTACTGGCCTGTACCAGCTCACAAGGGCAGATTGTTAAAATTCCAATATTCTTGCAAGCCAGTTAGTAAACACAGCCATCATTAAAAATCAAATTATTTGTAATAATTAAATTATATACTATGGATGCTAGATGAATTCCAGAAACTACTGTCCTGAGATAATCTTTCAACTTCAGACAAATAATATACCCTGAACTCTTCCTAAAGCCAAACTATAGTTTAGCTTACTTAGTACTGAATGTTTGCCATGAGCATTACATGCTGTTAAGCACTATCTGTATGGAATCTGGTTGGCTATGCTGTTGTTGTTGTTAAGTGCCATTGCATTGGTTCTGACCCATAGTGACCCTGTATAGGGTTTCCAAGGAGCAGCTGGTGAGCTTGAACCACTGACCTTGTGTTTCAAACTGACCTTGCGGTCTAGCTTATCCCACAGCACCACACCAGGACTTCAGATTGACAATTACAACTCAAAAGATTAGATACGAGTCCCTAGGGGCCTGTGAGTTAGTTTATGTTAATAGAGGAGAAACAACTCTGGAAAGGAGGCTGAGAATGTTTGCACAACTCAAAGAATGTAATCAATATCGTTGAATTATACAGTAGAAACTGTTGAATTAGTGTAGGCTTTGCTATGTATATTCTCAACAGCAACAACAAAGTATTTGGAAAAATGAAATTATATAAACTTAAAAGAAATTATATTGAAAACAAATTAGCCATTTGGGAGCTATAAATCAAAACTGCAATGAAATACCTCATCACACCCACTAGGATGGTTATTATTTAAAAAAAAAAAAAAGTAACTGTTGGTGAATATGTGGAGAAATTGGAGCCCTCATGCAATGTTGGAGTGAACGTAAATAGTGTAGCTACTGTAGAAAACAATTTAATGGTTCCTCAGAAAGTTAAGTAGGCAGATAAATGCATACTAGTATTCATTGTAATATTATTCACAATAGTTAGAAGGTGGAAACAACCCCAGTGCTCATCAACACATGAGTGGATAGACAAAATGTCATATATATGTATTTCTCAGGTATCTAGTGCTGCTGTAATAAATGTACCTCAAGTCAGTTCTTTTAAAGAACAGGAATTTATTCTCGCAGAGTTCAGGAGACAAATTCAAATTCAGGGCATACTTCTAGAGTGAAGTTCTTCTTTTCTGGTAGTCCCAGGAGTTCCTTTGACATTCCTTGGAATTTGTCTTCTCTCTGTCTGTGTCTTATGTCTTCTTCTCCTCTTTTTTGTCTTTATGTTTATTGTTTTTTTCAATTGTGAAGTGGTTGAAGATTAACAGAGCAAATCCTTAGAGTGATCACACCACTACACTGGCCTGACTTTATTAACATAACCAAAGAAACCTCTGATTTTCACACAGAGTCATATTTATAGGAATGTTGGTGGTGGTGGTAAGCACCATCAAGCTGGTTCCAACTCATAGGGGCCCTGTATTTGGTTTCTGAGGAGCACCTGGTGAGTTTGAACTGCAGACCTTGTGGTTCAAAGTCTAGTGCTGATCCTACAGTGCCACACCAGAAGTCCATTTATAGGTAGGTTAGGATTTCAGAACATACTTTTTGGGAACACAATTCAATCCATAACAACATACAATGGAATATTATTGAACCATAAAAAGAAATGAAGTATGGCTGAACCTTGAGAAACTGTTGAGTGAAATAAGCCAAACACAAAAGGAAAAATATTGTATGATTCCATTTATATGAAGCATCTATAAAAGTAAATCCATAGGGGCAAAAGAAGATTAGTGGTTACCAGGAACTTGAGAGAGAGGTGAATGGAGAGGTTAAAAAAAAAATTTAAGACGTACCCACAAAGGTAAGAAATACTCAGAACTTGCCTTTTCCTAATTATTTTATTTCATTTTTCTATTACTTATGCCTTTGATTTTTTTTGTCTATTGTACCTATGTCAAGGAAACATACTATATAGGGATTTGCTATAGCACATTTCTTTTCAAGCTCACATTCAGTGCCATTATATTGATAGCTTGAAATGGACCATGGTGGGATATTTACACCATAGAAATTGGCATATGCTACAAATCAGGACTTTTCCTCCCCAAAGAATTGGTTGTTAAGTATTATGGACATCACTGGTGGTTGTAGTGGAGGTGGTAGCAAGTGGCCAGATGCTGCATATGTTTAGAAGGAAAGTGATGGGAATGACCTGTGGATGCACATGGCTTGGCAGGGCAGAGCAGCTGTTCCCGAATGTCTTTCATAGGAAACACTAGCCAACTGTCAGGGCAGTGGAAGGGTAGGCACATGCCTAGAATAAGGAAATATTTGCTGCTGTATGATTTAAACTAACTGGAGCCTATCACAGCATTCTAGAAAACAAGGATAACCCAAATGTGGCCATGTTTGAGGTCCATGCAAGGACTCTCCCAGCCCAAGTGGAGACAGTGCTGCCTGGATGATTCCTACAGAGCTACTGCTGCCTAAAGAACACTGGTTTCTCTATTGAGTTCCCCTGCCCTTCCTGCATTCCTTTCCTTTAAGCTCTCCTTTCTGTGTTCTTCAGGGGTCTCTGTGAGAGTGGGGCTTCCCAGAGAAGGCACAACAACACAAAGAATACAAAGGTGACCTCACTGTTCCCTAGCTGAATACTCCTCCCCAGCCTGTGCACAGGATCAAAATGGCCAATATCTTTAGCAAACAACAGTGACCTCTGAGACCTGGCCTTATGGGTCCTATAGAAAACTCCTACAGAGTCTCTACCTCTGCTCTCCTGTCAATCCACTGAGCCAGTTCCTTGCCTCTAGGCCTTGGATCTGTTGCTGCCTCAGTCTGGCATGTCCTCCTTTCCTTTCCTCAGCCCTTACTGCCTTTCCACTCATTGTTATCCTCTCCTGAAGGCCCTCTTAACCTTGTTTCCTGTAGTGGCTAAAATTGTCTGAGGGGGATGCTTGTCTAGCCCTCCTGAGGGCCGGTCCTGACCAACAAAAGATCTGACAGTATAGCTCCTGGGAATAATGGGTGGTTTGATGTCTGTGTTTTTTGGCTTCATTTGCAGTTTGAAGGTCAGAAGTATTGTGAACATGATTTCCAAATGCTGTTTGCTCCGTGCTGTGGATGCTGTGGTAAGGATTTCCAGGGGAGTCATAGGGGTAGAGGAGCGGTGCTGGCAGTGGGAGGTGGGGCTTGGGGAGTGGGTGGTGGAAGAGTTGGGGAGCTTGTTGCATGGTGGGCAGACCCCTTCCTGCATTTCTCTGAACTTCAGTCCTAGGGTCTTTTCAAGCCCATGGGCAATACTCTCAATGCTCTGGGAGGGGAGTCCATGGACACCCCAAAAGCCAGGCTGAAAGCTGGTGTGGATGGGTAACAAGGGGCCACTCCTTCCCCAGGTGAGTTCATCATTGGCCGTGTTATCAAGGCCATGAACAACAACTGGCACCCTGGGTGCTTCTGCTGTGAGCTGTGTGACATGGAGCTGGCAGACCTGGGCTTTGTGAAGAACGCGGGCAGGTGAGGCAGAGCATGCAGCTCTGGGCAAGGCAGCGGTGGTGGCGGCTACCACATCTCTGCAGAGGAATATTATAGTACCCACCTCTAGTATGGCCTAAGGCAGGGAAGACTGGGGGCCAAGAGTCAGGATCTCCCAGGGTCATGGTTATTCTTGGGCAGCAGGCTGACAGCTGATACAAGGAGGAAAGTGGCTGGAACAGGAGCTGGTTAGAGGCAGTGTATGGGATAAAGGACTTGGAGTTGCATCAATCCCTGACTGCCCCTTCCTCTGCTAGTCCCACTGTCTGCCTTCCTTCCCCTGCACCCACATGACTGAGCATTGCTGGAGAGAAATCCCCCAAAAAAGCTACCAAAATTTACTCTAAACTTAGGACTGTGCGCTCCATTGTAGTACTTAATTTCCTTCCAAACCTAAAACTGAAACCCATTGCCACTGAGTTGATTTTGAGTCCAAGTGACCCTGTAGGACAGAGTGGAACTGCCCGATAGGGTTTCTAAGGTTGTAAATGTTCATGGAAATCAACTGCTACATCTCTCTCCAATGGAGTGGCTGGTGGGTTTGAACCACTGACCTTTTGGTTAGCACCTGAATGTTTAACCGATGTGCCACCAAGACTCCATTAGGTCTCCTTTGCTGCTGTTGTTAAGTGTCATAGAGTTGGTTCTGATTCATAATGACCCTGTACAGGGTTTCCAATGAGTGGCTGGTGAGTTTGAACTGCTGACCTTGTGGTTCAAACCAACCATGCAGTCCAGTGCTTTATCCCACGGCTCCACACCAAGATTCCTTGGCAGGGTTCATTTCTCTCCTTCCAAGAAGAGCCTCCCTCTCACCCCACTGCAGTGGATGGCCTCCTCTCCTACATCCTTGAGGCAAAGGGATGCTTCTATTTCCCTGCACCACCCGTCCCTCTACTATGCCTCTTAAAGCCCAGTTCACGCCTCATGCCTCCAAGAGCCTCTGTTCTGACTTTTCTCTCCTCCCTTCCTAGAGGAGCAGGCCTGAGGAGTTACATGATTTAAGCTCCTGAACCTGCCACCCTATGAACCACGCTGGCTTCTTGCAGCCCACACAGCACACTCGTTGTCTCCTCCCCTGTGCCCTCCATCCTTGTCTGTGGCAGTGACTACCTCATTGCCAGTCACTGACTTGCTAAGTTTTGCCACAGCTCACCTCTACTCTGTAAATGCCTCTTGTGGTTTCAGGTTGCTCCTGCTCAGTTATCTTGGCCTTCACCCATCTCTAAGTCTTGGGGTTATTTAGGGCTTTGGCCTCATCTCTGCCCTCAAGGACATGAGTCTTACATGTCTGGGAAAACTTGGAATTTGCACCTCTATCTCTGACCTCTCCTTTGGTGAGACTACTTCAATGCAGAATCCATGAGTGTCCTGTGTAGCAGGTCTCACGTGGAGCAGCTCACCCCATGCACTACCAGTCTGGTTTGCTTCTTCAGCATTCTTCACAGGAGTGGAAGAGCTCACTAAACACCCAGTGTGCTCCATTAGCTATCTCTTCTCCTTGGCCTCTTTTGCTGTTACTGTCCTCTATTGCACTCCTTCTTTATTCTTCTCTGATGCTACCTGCAATGGTCTTGTCAGCTGAGAGATGTACTGCTGGACTGGCATATCCCAGTATCTCCGGTGTCAGCTGTCTAAGTGAGAAGCTGGGGTCAAACTCTGGAAGTTCAGCTTCATGAGTTATCTAAATTGGTATATGGACCAGGGTGAGCCCTGTCCTCTTATGATCCATGGTACACACAATACCACCCTCCCCATCAGTCTGTGGGCAGGGACCTGGAGAGACTGCAATCCTTGGGAAGTAAGATGTGATATTGCTGTAAGGGTAAGGGGGGAGGTGCCAGCTGGAGTGTGTGATTAACAAGAGTAATTTGACCAGTTGTTGCCTCCAACCCCATTGCAGTTCTAGGTTGGCACTTCCAACCCCATTGTGCAGACATGGTACGTGGTGCTGTGGGCTATCAAGAAGTAAAAGAGAGAGATCAAGAGTATGTGTGGTCCATCCCTCACTCCCACTTCAGCTGAATTTGTCACCACTTTGCCATTCCTGTGTTGAAGGGGAAAACATTCTGGGAAGGATATTATGTTAACCATACACTGTGCATCTTTATAGTCTTACAGCTACAGCTGTATTGCATTTATGATCTTGTAACATGTACCAAAAAGGTCCCACTGAGAAGATGGCCCACCAAGTCTGAGAGAGACCTCTCAGGAGTGGGCAGTGTTAAGCATACCCCTGATTGTCTGGGTTAATGGGAGACAGATCCCCACCACTTCCAGCTCTGTCCTGGGCTTCTTCAGGCAGTGACAGAGCTCACTCTTGGAACTGTCTACTGACTCATCTGCTTGACCAGGACTGGGGAGGGACTGGCACCTACTAAGAATGTCAGACCACATGCAAAGCCTCTTCAGACCTGCTTGAGGGCTTCAAGAAGGTGACATCATGATTCCTATAATGAGCTGATGACCTGGTAACCAGTGTTGGGTTGTATAGTCCATGCCTCTAAACTAACTCAGGGGTTACCTAGCCAGTGTACCACAAAGGGCACTCAAAACCACCTTGCACTTCAAAGGAAATATTTAGACACTTCTCTCCACCCTTCCACCTCTCAAAAGTTGTTCTCTGGCTTCCTTCTGGGATTCTTTTACAGAGCTTTGCTGAGGGGTGTTTCTGTCATGAGAAGGAGGCTGGGAGCCAGGAAGGCAATTTGGGGAAGGAAAAATGGTGCTCAGTAACTGGTCCTCTGACCTCCTTAACCATGATCAGGGGGCAAAGCTGACGTGTCTCCTTGGAGAGGAAATGGCTGGCTGATGTGGCAATTCTTTTATTGTAGGGATTCAGGCACTAGTTGAAGCCTGCATTCTGCTCTGGTGGTGACTGAGCTCACACCTTGGAGTGAGGGAGCTGCCTGTTGAGATGCCAAGTTTGTTTCTGCAGGAGGCCTGGGAGAAGTATTTCTTTTCAAGTCTGAGTGGCACCCCTATGGGGGTGTTGTCCCTCTGGGGTGACTTTGCTGGCTTAGAGGGAACTTCCAGAGGGGTAACCTTCACAGCTCTGACTTGGCACTCAGTGAGCTATCATTGGTTTTCCCCTCAAAGCTGGGGGGTGGCTCTAAGAGCCTTTTGCTGCAGAGCAAGTTGCACAGGGTGTTTCGAAACTTCTCAGCCACAAAGAAGTACATGACAGGGTCCAGGGCACCATTGAGGCTGGTGAGACAAGAGGTGATTCGGTTGCCTAGGGCCAGGATGCGCTGAGCAGTACAGGAGGGCCTTTGACTGTGCAGGTGTAGCACGTAGATGGAGCGGTGGACATGGTAGGGCACGAAGCAGATCAGAAAGATTGCCAGGACCATGGCAATCGTGCGAATGGCCTTGCTCTTGAGCCGCTGCTCTACCCGGGGGCCTTGCCGCAGACTGCGGATGATCAGCAGGTAGCAGGTGACTGTGGTGACAAATGGGAAAGTGAAGGCCACTGCCAGGGACACAAGAGCATGGTGAGAGGCCTTCTCCCGATAGAGCTGTAGACAGATAACTGTGTGATTGGTTTGCACAGTCTGTGGGCTCACCAGCAGTGGGATCATGGCTGTGGCCACCACTATCCAGAGGAAGGCACAGGCCAGGTGGGCATAGAAGGGCCTGCGCAACTTGAGGGACCAGACGGGGTGCACGATGGCCAGGAAGCGGTCAGCGCTGATGCAGGTGAGAAAGTAGATGCTGGCATACATGTTGAGATAGAAGAAGAAGCCAGTAAGGCGACATGGGATCTCCCCAAACGGCCAGTGGCTCCCGGAGAAGTGGTAGACAAGGCGGGTGGGCAGGACCAGCACGCAGGACAAGTCGGCCACAGCTAGGTGCATCAGGAACACATTGGCAGGGGTGCCTGACTTATGGTCCTGAACAAAGAGCCACAAGGCAAGAGCATTGCCAACAAAAGCCAGGATGAAATCAAGCAGGTAGAAGGAGGCAAAGAGGGCATTTTCCAGTGGTGTCTCCTGACCACATTGCTCCACAGTAGTCAGGGAGGAGTTTGCAGTCAGACTCGGCGTGGCCACCTGGAGGCCATTCATACTTTGGCTGGAAGCAGAGCTACAGCACAAGCCTGGAGGGAACAAGGACGAAGATGTGGGTCAGATTACCGGGGGCCTGAAAACTCCACAGAACTCCTGCTCTAGTCCTGACTCAGGGGATGGACCTCTTGAGAATCCAGCACTACTGGTGTGACTAGTGAGGGTGTGTCCCGTGTCTATTGGTAGGGGATACTCTGGACTTTGGCAAAGCCATATCTTGTCCTGGAGTGTTGCCTGGGGGCTGAGTGGGGTGTAGGCTGGGTCATCTCTGGCAACCTAACTACTACACTACATCAAGAGCCATACCTGAGGGATGGCAGGTGAGGCCAACACTACATGGGAGAGCCCAGGAATGGGGTGCAGAGGGTGGTGGGAAGGTCTATCATCTGCTCTTCCTCAGGTGTGCTAACAGGACAGCAGTCAGGGTGGTACACATGGTCTTCAAATCCCACACCTGAGGATGGATAGATGGGTCTACATCTTCCAGGGAGCCCACCAAGTTCCCCTACAGTCACTGTCTTGCCCTAGGAATCCCAACCTCCTGCCCTACATCACTCCTAGAGCCTGGAGGGCCTTCTTGCACTTACATAATCTCTCCTCCCTGTGCCCTTGACAGTGCAGGCTGTATATGGCTTCCACATCTGACACACAGGAGGGCAGTACCAACTCCCTCCATCCCCCAGACTCCCGGTCTCTCAACTCACCAGCTCCATGAGGGGCATCCCAGTGGGCTGAGACTTGCATTTTGGGAAACCCTGTTCTTGGACCTCTGGCCAGTGAGGAGATAGCACATTCCAGAGAAGTGCTTTTCTATCAGGGGGAGAGCAGGCCGACCCAGAAGTAAAGAAGAAACAAAGATTTTCCACCCAAGGATCTGAAACTTCAGAGAGGTCCGAGTCCTAGGGTGCCTGCTGCTGCCGGCCTCATTTACCCTGTTTGCCCGCTTCTGTAGGGCCAGTTTTACCAGCCTTGCCAAAAAGCCTCTTACTCCCCCTGAACCCCGGTTCTAGATAGAGTGTTCCCTGCTCCCTCCATGGCGTAATCAACTCCTGTTTTGATCTTAGTTCAATGAAGAGATGCAAGAAGGAGAACAAGAATCCCAAACAACCTGGGTATAACTGGTTGTGGGGAGGAGAGGACCTAAACTCAGCCCCTGCTTTTTATGCCCTACTGGATGCTGACTGCCTTCAGCTGGGCTAGGCTCTCAGCCACAGTGCCTCTGTACTCTGACAGCATCCATGTTTCCCTGCCCTGTGAGGCTGGGCTGAAGATGGGGCTGGGAAAAGTTTATAAGCAAGAAGTGCCACATTTCAATCTTTCTCCACCTTTTGTACTCTCCCACACGTACACTGTGGGATGCACTCAGTGAATTAGTGATGGATTTGCTTTCAGGGTTCCATTCATACACACATGGCTGCCTGGTGAGTGACATTTTTGGTTCCATCCATCTTTCAACCTTGTTATTATCTGATAACTTTCCTAGGACTGCTAGAGTCAGTGCACTGATGAAGCAGAGATTTGTGGATAAGGAATACCAGGCACAGGATTATCTGAGAGCTTAGCCAGATGCCAGAGGAGACAGACTTGCATAGAACACAGTGAGGGGCCCAGAAAGAGGACCTCCATAAGGGTTGTGACATGGAGGAGAAGACAGCACACAGCCAGAGACAGGGCGCCTGAGCTGTGGCTATGTGCTGGGGTCAAGGATAGGCTGCAAGCAGGAGAGAGATGAGGTCTTCAAGGTCAGAGTGGAGAAGGGAGGAGAGGGACAGTCTGTTCAGTGTTGGATTACTCAATAAGCAAGGTAAGTTTACTTATTAATCTGTAGTGAACAATTTCATATTTTCAACCATATCAAAGAGTCTGCTTCTAGGTCTGGCTGGTATCTGTCTCTCTCCCAACCCCACAGCACCTTCCACAGAATCAAAGTCTTTTTCAAATTTAGACTCCCTGTCAGGGATGGAATATCCAGTAAGCAAGGTAAGCATGGACTCATATATTGCTTACTATTTCACATATCCATGTCCTGGGAGGCAGATGGTGATACATTGTACAGACTCCAAGGATGCACTAACTTGCCCTTGGTTGTTTAGGCCAGGCCTTGGCTCTGGGATGAGAGTCTGATCAAGGGACCCAAGCACCTATGAGCTGGCACCCTTAGCAGAGTGTGGCTTATCCTACCCTGGAGCAGTCCCCAGGCACAGTGCCAGTCAGATAACTTTTTATCCCGGCTTTGAATGCAGGGCCCGTGTTTGAAAAGTAAGCCTTTCAAAATAACAACAGCAAAGGATTGAACCAAACATGGACCTTCTTCACAGGGCACCCTGTGTGACTGCTGAAGTCTCTCCATAAGACAATGGTCTTACCGTTCCCATCCTTTCCACAAGCCTAAAACTGTGGCTAGTAGGTGGGTGGGCAGGCTGAAACTACTTTCTGGCTCCTGCTTGGGTGGAGACTGTCAGTGCCCCTGACTTCCCAAACCATTATGATGATGGCAACAAACTCCCTGACACCCTAACTCTTGCTGTTGAGTTTGTTTCTGGTGTTCTGAGATTCTTTCAATCCATCTGTTTTTCCATCTCTTCCCCATTTCATGAGTGTTGATACTGACTTTTAAAAATTGGGTCATGCACTACTTCCACTTAAAATTTATAGGCCTCAATCTGAAGTCCCTTTGTTCTCTCAATGGTGAGGGACAGAGTTTAACAGTAGCATTGAACAGAAGGCCTGAGCAATGTTGGGTTGCATAGATGGGGGTCAGAGCAGCAGGCAAGTGGCCTCCCTCTCTGGAGGAACAGGTGGTCAGACTGGTTGCAGTGCTGTGTTTGACCACCGACAGTTGACACATAGGAGAAGTGTCCCTCGCTGGCCTGACCACTTCTCCCCATAGATTCTTTCATCTGGCAAGTCCTTGTGGCAAAATAGCCAAGTGGTCAAGAACATGCTGCACAACCCTCTGTGGAGCTGAGTTCCTGCTATGGTGAGCCTCTGATAAGAAGTCATACTGTGATCACAGAGAAGATGACCCTCCCACCTCAGGTAGAGCCTCTGTGCTTGGCTCTCCTTGGCCACTGAACTCCCTGCCTTCACCCTCCCCTTACCTCACTCAGTTGGTTCAGGCCAGAGAGGCAGGAGGGCAGGGAGGCAAGTGCTGAGGAGGGCAGATGAACTGGAGCTGGTGGTGGTGTATCGGTGGGTCCTTATGGTGAGGCTGAGGCAGAAGACTGGGTATTTAAGGAGAGGAGAGGAGGCTGTAGCTCTCCAGCCTCCCACTGAAATGAAATGAAAGATCATCTCTTTCCTAAGGAATCCGTTGTGTGGTGTGGGGCCACTTCAAGCTTGCGTCTTCTGCCATGGCCCATGAATATCTCAGTGTGTCTCAGTGTTCCCAGCCCCCTAGCACACTTCACAGAGGCTGAGTCTGTAACTGTCCTCAGGCTGGGGAGTGGACACGCTGGGGCGGGAGGTGGTGGGGGGAAACTCAGTGGCATTGACACACACAAGAGAACATTTCAGAACAGGGCAATTTCCTGCGAATGGGGGTGGGCTGCTGTACCAATGGACTGGTGCTCCCAGGTCGGCCCTGGGTGCAGCAGAAGGGTCTTATGAATGGGTAGTGGGAGCTGAAAAGTCTTGTTTGGCTAAATGAGAGGGAACTCTTTCAGGACACTTGCTATAGGGCCCTTGTGTCCTGTTCTGTATAATTAGCTCCCATTTGGGTGTGAGGAATAAATCATGGCCTTTATCTCTAGTGGGGCACAGCTGCAGGCTGCCTCATAATGAGGTGCTGTCTGTGCCTATGGAATGGGCTCAGCCTCCAGGCTGGCCCTTGGCTATCCCTATCTTAGCTCCTCCCCTGACTCACTGGGCCCTCTGACCACTGGTCCCCAAGACTCAGCCTGTGGTGACTCATGACTAGGCTCTGCTTGGGTGTTAGTAGTGGCAAATTCCAAGATTATGAGCAAAGTTTCTTCCTCCCTATTGTTCCAAAATTAATTTATCCAGCTTTGTTACTGGTTTTTGTTAACCAGTTGCCATCAGTTCCAATTCATGGGTATCCCATGTGTGTCACAGTAGAACTGTGCTCCACAGTTTTCAATGGCTGATTTTTTGAAAGCTGATTGCCAGGTCTTTCTTCCAAGGTGCCTCTGAGTGGATTTGAACTACTAGCCTTTCAGTTTGTAGCTGAATACTTAACCATTTGTGTCACCCAGGAATAACAGGGAGTCAAAATAATATTTCTAGTTTTAAGACTTCTTGGGGAGGCTAGATAGGAGTAAGGACTTAGGGTTTAGGACTATGGCTAGATCTAGGTAAGGCTTAAACCCTGGTGTGGCATTGTAGGATAAGTACTTGACTGTTTAAAACCCATCAGCCCCTCTTGGAAACCCTATACAGGGTTGCTGTGAGTTGGAACTGACTGGTTGGTATACAACAACAGCATGGCAAAATGTAGGACTTCACTTAGTGTTAGGGCTGTGGTTAGGACTAGGATTAATTTTAGGGGTCGGGTTGGGCTAGGAGTAAGGCTTGGTCTAGTTTTAGGGTTCCAGTTAGGTTTATTTATTAATTTTTTTTCTTGAAATCTATTTGATTACAAGGAGTTCTGGTAGCATAGTGGATTATGCATTGAGCTGAAAGGCAGCAGTTTGAATTTACCAACCACTTTCAGGAGAAAGATGAGGCTTTTTGCTAAAAATCTTTAGCCTTAGAAACCCTACACAGGTTTCTGTAAGTCAGAGATGGATTGGCACAGTGGCGGAAGCAATGGACTCAGGCATAACAATGATTGTGAGGTTGGCCCAGGACCAAGCAGTGTTTCGTTCTATTGTGCATAGGGTCGCTATGAGTTAGAACTAACTTGATGGCACCTAACAACAACAACATGAGTCAGAACTGACTCCACAGCACATAATTGCCACTACCACCATATCTGGGTTGAGTTCTGGGTGATATCATCATGTATGTTAGTCTCAGGTTGTTGTCAGCTGTTGTTGGTTCTCTGTACAAAGAACTCCCTTTAGTATTTTTTATAAGGTTGGTCTTTAAAAAAAAATATTTTAATTTCTGTTTATCTAACATTGTTCTAATTTTGTTGGACAATTTTACTGGGTATATGATTCTTTGTTGGCAGTTTTTTTTTTTTTTTTTTAAATTCCAGAGCTTTATATATGTTATCCATCATCTTGCCTGCATGGTTTCTGTTGAGAAATCACAGCTTAGTCTTATGAATTCTGCTTTGTAGCTAATTTCGTTTTTCATGAGCTGCTCAGGATTTTTTTCCTTGTCTTTGGTTTTGAAAAGCTGGATTATAAAATGTCTGGGTGATTTTCTTTTGAAGTCTGTCCTGTTTGTTCATTTAACTTGTCAAGTAGTTCTGATACCATTTCTTGTATTCTATTTTCTGACTCTCTTGCTTGGTGTAAGCTGAAATTGCTTTCTCAAAGACATTGTGGTGTCACTGTATTTATATTTAGTTGATGGTTGTATGTTGGTATATTCTCAGACACTCACCACCTGATTCCTGGTGGATGTGATGGAGACTGGAAGTCTAAACACAATTCTGTGTTTGCTGTTTGTGTGGCATTGTTCAGGGCAGGTTCACATGTCTCCAGAAGAAGGGATGGTATGTCACATGCTGGACCCCAGGCAGAGGCTGAGCAGGAGGGTGGTATGCCTGGTACCTGACCTCAGCAAAGGATGCATAGGAAGGGGTGCACTGGCTACTACATTGGTTATGGCAGAACTGGCCACACTCTCAGTGACCTGCAGGACAAGGGAACAAGGGAGAACTGCATACACCTTTGCTTGTCTCCTACATGTGGCTGAGTCTGTGCCTGCAGTTCTAATGGTATTTGCTTGCAAAAGCTCAAGAGGAGGTGCTGCTTCATGCCAGCTGACATCCATCTATTTTTTTTTCTCTCTCCACTGCTCCTGTTCAGTTTCCTCTTCCAGTCAGCAGTCAATTCACTTCTCTGTCCCTGGATGACCACCTGTATCTATTTCACATGTTTGCCCATGTCTTTGTTGCAGAGAATCTGATCAGTGTATCTGCCTACTTCACCATCTTGCCCAGGATCCCCTAGTTTTAGGACTTTTAAGTATACTTTTTTTTTATTAAAACATTTTAAATACATTTGCTACCTTTTGGAGCATACCTGCAAGATGTGCTCTCTTTCTTTTTACTTTCATGACAACCCTGTGTATTTGGGACTTTTGTCTTACTTTAGTGATAAGAAAAGCTAGACTCTGAGGGATTATGGAACCTGCACAATAACAAGCATCTAGGAAGTGGCAGAGCCAACATTTGAATCTGAGTGTGTCACTTTAAAACTTACAATTTTAGCTGTTGTATTGTTTCTCCCTGGAAAAGAGATTTGGAAGTTGGCTTTTGATCTAATGATGGGGTCAGGTCTGTTGAGAAAACTTTTCCCATCTGGAGTTCCTTCAAGTGTGATAGACCTTTTCATTATGCTTCCTGGGAGCTGGTAAAGTGCAGGTGCCATGGCATGGGTGTACCTGAGAATTGGCTCACATCGCCTGTACTGAGCAGGGTATTTCTGGACATACTGACCAATCATGGATAGTAGCGTCTAGGGCACAGATCATTGCAATGAAGTTTTGAGAAGTGGTTAATCTTTATAGCTCTGAAACAACAATTACTTCATGCGTGTTGAATGCTAAGAGTTATGGTTGTGAGAAATGAATTTGTCTGTGACAGGGATACAGCAGGGATCTAGTGATAGAAGGTGGCTAGGTGGGGAACAGGGTCCAGGGGCTCAGGGCACCTGGGCAGTGTGGGCAGCTAGAGGGGAAGAAAGGAAAGGGCAAAGGCTCTGTCATCATGGTCATGAAGACATGAAATCATGTTGTCCTGAGCCAGGCCCTATTGTCTCAGAGGGGATGACATTCATTTGTGAGTAAACGATCCTGTACTGTTTTCTTTGGAGGCTGGGACAGATGCAATTGTAAGCCAATCAGAAGCTTAGTGAGTACATATGGTGTATCTTGCTGCTGGCCTTTAACCTATTAATGTGCAGACTAGTTGGGAAGATATCCACAAGGCAAATGGAGAGCTATGGTATACAGGATGGAGTCCAGACCTCAGATAGATGGAGCAGGTGTTGTGATTAATAAGAACATAGATGCTGAGCTGGCTGCCCTGGATCTAGGATCTGCCTCATTATAACCTGGTTGGGAATCTTAAGCCAGGATAGATCTCTGACACAGATTCTCTAACCTGCCTGCCAAGGGCTAGCACTAGTGCCATGGAGCACAGTGAGGAGTTGGGGGCTCTCCTGTGGATTGGGGGCCTGGGAGGGGGGAATTTGGAGCATGTTAAAAGTTGAGTTGCAGGTGGGTAACAGGGAGCAAGGGGTGCTAGAATTGGAGTCTCTGTATAGCTGAATCTAAATTCCCACCATCTTTGAGACCTGAGAAAAGAGGAAATATGTTGAATTCTTTTATTTGAGTTCACAGCTGTTACCCAATGCAAGGAGGAGCATCAGAAATGACTTTGAGGTCTTCACAAAAAAGTCTCTGTAGTGACAGTTCCTGAGTTTGGGGCTTTGGTCAGACACAGCTATGCTTGTCTTTGGAGACAGAAATAGTCTGGATTCTCAAGCCCCTGTGGTCTGTCAGAGCCCCAGAAAGTGGGTGAGCAGCTGCCTGACTGGCACCCACTGGCAGTGAGATTTAGGTTGATGTGTTTGTTAAAAGACATTTGAAAAATAAAATTAATTTTCAACTAATGCCAATTAAAATTCTATTCTATTTTACACAAACATGGAAAGAAAAATAGTAACACTGTTGTCTACCAGTCAAAGACAGCAACCATGAACATATTGGTGTATTTCCTTTTAGCTTTTTTTTTCTGGACTGGGCTGCACTGTATGCCCATTGCCTTACTCATCACCTGATTGGGTTTCACTGGGTGAGTCTCTCAGAAGCACTCAGGCAGTGTGTAAAGCTGCTGGTATGGGCTTAGAGATATCTCTTCTCCTGTGAGGTGGCCTGACTGGTCTGAGAGGAAGAGTGGGCAGTCTACCCCCAATACCCACTCCTCTTTGTCCACCGTTTCCTGTAGACACCTCTGCCGGCCTTGCCACAACCAGGAGAAGGCCAAGGACCTGGGCAAGTACATCTGTCAACGGTGCCACCTGGTCATTGATGAGCAGCCTCTCATGTTCCGGAATGATGCCTACCACCCAGACCACTTCAATTGTACCCACTGTGGGTACGTGCACAGCTCAGTCCTTACAACCAAGGAGAGCTAGGGTCATCCAGCTGCAAAGGTGGAAGGACCCCCATCCAAGCAGAGATGAGTCGGATGGGCAGTGGAGAGGCCCCTACAGAGTGGAGGTGGAAAGGCCCAGGAAGTATCTTTCCAGGGCTCTGTTATAGGGGACATGCACCCAGCCTGGCTTAAAATCCAGGGGCAAAGGACTGGGCCCCTTAACTGCTGAGGACTGATGGCTGAGAAGCAGCAGAGAGGGAAGTCAGGGTCAAGTAACGCGGGGTATTGAAGCAAGCAGGAGAAGAAAGGGAAGTCACAGAGAAACCCTGAAGGTCTCTCCGCCTGCCCCAGACACCCTGTCTGAGTAAAGGAGGAGGGGAGCCAGAGAACAGACTTGCTTCTCAGCAGGCTGATGAGGCAGAACACAGGTCACCCTTCTATGAGGGCTTCAAGGGAATTTTGTGCCCCCAGGCCTGTCTGGGGATCAGGAAGTCCCAAAAAGAGATCAGAGATCACAGCAAGCCTCTGGGCTGGTCAGACCAGGACCTCTCAGTAGGCTGCACCCCTGAACTGGAGGGGCTAGTATGATCCCTGCCAGACCTGGGCCCTGTGGAACAAGCAGGGCCATCACTGGGCTCCACATTGTCTTCCAGTAAGGAGCTGACAGTGGAGGCCCGTGAGCTGAAGGGAGAGCTCTTCTGCCTGCCGTGCCATGACAAGATGGGTGTGCCCATCTGTGGGGCTTGCCGCCGGCCCATTGAAGGCCGTGTGGTCAACGCGCTGGGCAAGCAGTGGCATGTGGAGGTGAGTGAGGCTGGCCTTGCATGGCATTTGGCCAGGGTCCAGAATGGGAAAGATATGGTCATGGTCAGATTCTAGCCTAGCAACACCTCCACACTCTCAACCCCAGTACCTTCATAGGTGCTATTTCTCCCTGCTCTGGACTCGAGATCCCAGGCTGAGCCTCCAGACCCTCCATGGGAGCAGGAAACCTGAGTGCACAGACCAGGGTCTGGCAGCCACACCAATCTTCCTTCCTCCACTTGGCATTTAAGGGGATTCCAAAGTCATGAGAAAATCATGGACTTCTCTGCCCAGTGCCACCCTGTGGGGTTGTAATTAATGGAGAGCCAGCTGTTTGCACAGTCCTATTAGATAGGAATTTGGCACCCCTGATGGTGAGCTCCTCAAGTGTGCTCAACTGGGTCACTTGAAGCATTCATGCTGTGGACCCTGGTCTTCTTATGGATGCACTTGGTCAGCTACTCCCAGAAACAAGCTTTTGGTGGCCTGTTTGAGGAACTCCAACTGGAGGCTGTAGAGTGTGTGATTTTGATGTGCTGATGCAGGCCTCGACACCCAGTCTGCCTGAGGGAGGCACAGTTGCATGGTCAAATCCTCCCTGCACAGGATGGCGCTGCTCAATAATTTGGGCTTGTAGGAGACGTCCATAGGGGCAGATACCTGCATGCTTTCCCAAAAGGTGTCTCATGTTTAATAGGGCAGCTGTCTGTGGTTCAAGTCTGCCAGTTGCTCCATGGGAGAACTACTCCCTCGAAGATTTAAAGCCTTGGAAATTCTATTCATGGTTGCTATGAGTCAGAACCAACTCCACAGTACTTCATAACAACCTGAGGGCCTACCCACTCCAGGCACCATGCTAACATCTAACTCATTAAGCTGAGGTTGCTGAGGGGGGCAGTACAAGTCTGGAGAGTCACAGTGGGTTGTAGAAGTACAAGTCTTGCTGACCCCAGAGGCCATGATTGGACTTCCTTTCTATTGGACAGTCAAGAGGTGGCAGCTCACTGCCCAGCTGTGTGGGCACAGATGGGCACTTAGCAACTTGGACCCCTGGGGTCCCCATGTTATCCCACCTTGTTATTCCCCATGTCCATTGTCCTCTCCAGCACTTTGTCTGTGCCAAATGTGAGAAGCCATTCCTTGGGCACCGGCACTATGAGAAGAAGGGCCTGGCCTACTGTGAGACCCACTACAATCAGGTATGGGCTGGGCATGGTGCACTGGGAGCTGCAAGAGTGCTTGCCCTTTGTCTGGCCTTCAAGGACTCAGGGAGCCTCAGGGAAGTGGGCTGGGGGAAACTGGACCTGCTTTGGGAACAGCAGGGAGTCTGTGCACTGGAACCACCCTGGGGTCCTGTTGTGACTTCGAGATTGGACCTAGGCACTCAGATCCTGGCTACCAGTTTCTGTATCTCAAGAATGGGTCTCTCAGTTTCCTTGTTGGCCTGTAGTGAAGACATATTACCACCCTCCTACCTTTTTCCCACATCCAGCAAAGCTGTCTGGCTGCTCTTGTGCAGGCTGATGGGGTGGGAGATTACTGTCCTGGCCTGAGCCCTCATGTAGGTATCAGCAGGAGCAAAGGGACATTTTTGGAAATAGTGTCCCAGGCCCATTCATTGTCCATGCAAGGGGTGATTCTAATGGGCTAGAGTGCCTTTACCTCAGACTTGAGGCTGTAGCCTAGTTAAAAAGTGCCCAAGAGACCCAGGTGGATCTCTGAAAGTGTCTGTCCTGGGCTGGGGTGGGGGTCGAGGGGATGAGGTGGTTGGAATTGTGGTGGTGGCTGCTTCCCACACTGATGCCCTACTCGATTCACAGCTTTTTGGGGATGTCTGCCACAACTGCAGCCATGTGATCGAGGGTGATGGTAAGGCTCCCTCTGTCTTTCAGCTTCTCCTTCCTCCTCCCCTTCTCCGTCCTCCCTCTGGGTTGTGGGTCCTGCAGCTGCAGACCCAGCTGGCCCTCACTGTGCACAGCTGGGCCTGTGGCTAGACTAAGAGGAGCCTGCTAACACTTATCCCTCACCTCCCACAGTGGTGTCAGCCCTCAACAAGGCCTGGTGTGTGAACTGCTTCTACTGCTCCGCCTGCAACAGCAAGCTCACCCTGAAGTAAGTGGGATTGCCCAACTTCTTCCTCCCCTCCTTGCCGAGTGTATTAAGGGGATTCAGAGTTGAATGGGCTTTTTGTGGGCCCTCCCTTCCATCAGATTCACCCTGAGCCCCTTTTTGTGGCCTGGCCATAGATACCCAGTGGGAGCAGAGAACAGACTTGCCACCCTTCCAATCCTGGGACGTGGAATATGAGCATTTGAAATGGACCCTGTAGAATAGCCCTTTGATGTAAGGGGTGGAGATGGGGGGTAGGGAATGAGTGACCACTTGAACTGGTTTCATAAAGGCTTTAAACATACAGGCTAAGACATTGGCCTTGCAGAGGGAAGGGAATTTCAACAGAGGGAGCGGCATATGCAAGGTAGAGAAGTTAGACCACTACCATCTAGGAAGCTGACAAAAGTGCTGGGTGGTTGCAGCTGTGAGCAGTGAGGAGGAGCCCAGAGTGCCAGGCTTACACTCAATTGGTGTGGGAAGCCGTGCCATGGAAAAGAAATATCTTAGAGGGAAGGGAGGATCAGAGACCTCTTGCCCCATCCATTGTGACCTCTGGCTAAAAATAAGCTCACCCTGGGCTTGTCCTGCTGGCATGGGAGGGTTTGGGGTAGGGAGGCTGGGGGTTGGGGGAAGCCATTCCTCTGTCTGAATTAATCTGTCTGGGGTCAGAAAAGACCTTGGGCTAGAGTCAGGAGGTGTGGGTCTCTCCCGGAGACACTCTGATTGCTGACTTTCCAGGAACAAGTTTGTGGAGTTCGACATGAAGCCTGTGTGTCGGAAGTGCTATGAGAAGTTCCCGCTAGAGCTGAAGAAGAGGCTGAAGAAGCTGTCAGAGCTGACTTCCCGCAAGGTCCATCCCAAGGCCATGGACCTCAACTGTGCCTGAGACCTTCCTATGCCCTCCTCCTTTCTCATCCCTTCCTGCTGCCTCCCCTTCCCAGGTTGCCTCCCACCTCTACTTTTGTCCTTTCTTTTTATGTCCCCCTCCAACCCCCTGTGATTTGGTGAAAGCTTACATAGCAAATCAATTTTCTATTCAACATTTCATACACATTTTGCTTTATGCCATTGATTGTAATCCCCGCAATGTAACATCATTCATTCCACTTCCTTCCTGTTTCCTGTTTCCATTTATTCTTCTTTCTTATGTCTTCCTGCTGTCCTCCAATGGTTGATTGTTCTAATTAGCACATACTTTTCTCATGTTATTGTTCACCTTATGGACCTGTCTGTTGTGTGACTGAAGTTGAGTCATAGGGGTGAATTTACTTCCAGGCTTACAAGGTAAATAAGGGATTCTACCAGTCTCTGTCCAACCAGTGAAACTGGTCTTTTTTATGATTTTAAGTTTTGTTCCATATTTTCCTCACATTCACATCAAAAACTTCCATTGTGATCCCTTTCAGAGTGGTTGGTTGTGGTAGCTGGGCACCATCTAATTCTTCTGGTCTCAGGGTCATGGAGGCTAAAGTTTGAGTGGTCTGCTTCTTTTGCTTTCTGCTCCAACTCATTTCCTCTCTTTCATCTCTCCCCTTCCTTTCCTCAGCTTATTTCCTCCTCCTTACTGCCCCTTTCCTCTGTTCACCATTGCCTCCTTTCCCCTCACTTCCCATTTTCTCGCCTCTCTTGCTATTGCTCCTCTCTCTCCTTCTATTCTACATGGAACCGAGGCAGGGGGACCCAGAGGTGGCGAACCTGTGCCCATGCTTACATTTTGCCTCCACCACAGCCATTTCCACCTGTCTGGCATGTTTCAACCCAAATCCACTAGGGACAGGAGCCCATATCCTGGGGTCACCAGCCCTGTGGTGGAGTATAGCTCTTACCCCATTGCACCAGCCCAGCATGTACTGACTTGGTGGGTTTATGTAGCCTCCACACTGGAGGATCCCACTCTGCTCACTTGCTTTTTCAGTCTATGAGCACACCTCCCCAAGGTAGTACTGTGTGTATCCACAACTGGAGCTAGCCCTGCCTGAGGCTGAGCCCCTGGACCAAGAAGTAGATTGGGGAGCTTCTGAAAAATCACCCTGCAATCCCCCACTCACTCACTCAGCCAAGTTGGATACCTGCCCACACAGAACCAGAAAGTTCTGCCACCCACTCCTTCCCAATCAACAAGAGGGACAATAACCCATTTCCATTCCCCATCACTCAGGTGTCTTTTTTCAGAAACCCAACCTGTGGCCCCCAGGAATCCCTGGCTTTTCTCTGCCCCCTGGATCTGTACTGTGCTTTGGGGAGCACCTGTGGGAAGGTTCCTGCTTCCAGGGTGAACCCTGCTTCTTCCTTGGTGAGGGCAACAACTGTATATAATGTTCGCATGGTGCACAAATAAAAGCTTATTTACATGAACATAAGAATTCTGTGTGGTTGGTGGGTGCCAGAGGATGAGGGGAACGTTGGGAGCTGTGGGAGCTGTTGACCGTTTAGAAAGGTAGGCACCAGATGAATAGGTAGAAGAGTTGGGGCCAAGACCCCAGCTACTGCTCTTGAGGCCTGGAAAGAGATCAACAGGAAGGCTGAAGTGTTGGAGGCTGAGTCCACCAAGGCCCAACAGTGGCACAGTGGGGATGGTGGCTCAGGCAGGGCCTCTCAGCCCATGTGGCCAACTCTTGCATCTAGCTCTGCCCACAGCTTGGCAGAGGCTGGAAGGGATTCTGTGGGGACTGACCACAGAGCACATGACCTTTTGAGAATGGGCTGTGTGTCTCATCAACTTGGGGGAAGGAGAAAAGGTACAGAGGGACTTGGAGATTTGGGGTACCCTCTCCCCAGTCTGAGAAGCAGGGAAGAAGGAGTGAAGAAAGTAGAGTGCCATGGAGGGAAATGGTGAATGAAGTCATTCCCTGGAAGAACTGTCATCCAAACTCCCTTCGCTTCAGTACTCCCAGCCTTCCTTCCTGCTCATTCTTTCACTGACACACACACTTCCCAGTGCTCCATGAATGTTTATTGAACATTCTGGGAAAGGGTCTCTTATCCTGTTCCCTCCTCTGGGCCACACCTGGAAGGCAGCAGTAGAGGTGGCTTGTGGCTGTGGGCCCAGAGGGGAGAGTTGAGGGAGTGCAACCTGAACCTCATAGGGGAGGTGCTGAGGGGCTGGCCAGGGCTGAGGCCCTGGAGCTCTGCTGTTTGTTTATGGTGCTCAGGAGTTGCTGCACATATGAGGTCAGCAGGTCATCCATCTTGTATCCCTGAACATGGACAGGATTGAGTCAGAGGCCACAGGGTACGAGAAGCCATCATGGGGTAGCATCCCTGGTTCTCTGCCTCAGCAGTACATCAGGACAAGGAAAGTCCTGCTGGCTGGGCATCCCCATTTCTGCTTGTCAAACACCTGGTGCCTCTACAGAATAGCCCTGGGCCACAGGGAACCCCACAATGGGGTGGCCACTGGCTGTGGGCGGGTTCTGAGTGATTCTCCCAGCCCCCTTTCTCTCCCCAACTAGATCTCTGCTGGACTAGCCTGGTCCTTGTTCACTTTATGGGCCTCAGTGAGAAGCTCCCCTGGTTGCAGTGAAGGGTGTGGGTGACAGGATTGGCTGTACCCCACTCCCTGGGGTGTGGATGGGGTCTAGGTTGGAGCTCACCAAAGAGGTCTCACATAGCAAGCGACTGCCCCGGCCTAGGCTCCCCAGAGCCATGTGGAAGTAGGTACTGCCGCTGCTCCAGCTGGAGATCTTGGTGAAGGGGTAGGTGATGAGCAGTTCCTGTGGGAGCAAGTGTGGACAGAGTCTGGAGGCTGAGTCTGATCCCTGAGCCCAGGAATCCATGTGTGTGTGTGTGTATGTGCATGCACACATGCACTGAGGAGCAGAAAGGCAGGTGTGAGACATTTGAGCAGGTGACTGCATCTTCACCCCCCACCCCTGCTCAAGGTTATGATGCTACCTTAGTCTTGGGGTGAATGAGCAGAACCCCCTGTCGGTTGATGGCGATGAGGACAATATCAGGATAGGAGGGCTCCGAGGTTTGCTAGAGAGGGAGGGCACGATGGTCACAGACTGGCCAGGAGACCAACTTCCAGGATCTGTACACATGTACGACTACACTCTCACACTTATACATGCAAACATGTACTTACATGTATACACACATTCTCACACACACATTCCTGTACATTTCAGCACTCATGGTTCTGCCAAATTTGGCCACTGGCCTTCAACCTAGATGTGTTTGCTAGGCCAGAGCTGAGGACCTGACAGTTTGGGAACCTGGGCATGAGGCAGGCCTACCTTCACCTCAAAGAAGGCAGATCCAAAGGTAGGCCAACGGCAGATCCACTTCAGGAAGGCTACCTTGGCCTCCTCCACTGTCTTGTCCATGTGCTTCTCATAGGCCAAAGGGATGCTCTGGGGAAGTAGGGCAATGAGGTGGTGACTGGGGCTGTACTGCATAGGTCCAGAGGCTTAGATTGAGACACCCTGGCTAAGGTCCCTAAGGCTGTGGTGTAGAGCAGGGAAGAACTGACACCCACAGACCCATATACCCTCCCCATCCTGAGAATGTGTTCAGGGCCCTTGGGTGAGCTGGCTGCACCCCAAGGCCCTCCCCAGATTTTGTCAAGCACCTTTTTCCACTCCTCTGAAGACATCATGCGTGTAAGGTTCTCAGGCACAAGTTGCCGCAGGATCTTGGGGATATTCGCCAGTTTGGACCGATCATTATCAAACTTGACTTTGTAGATGAGACCTGCCAGGTGTAGGGCATCTTCTCTCGAACACTTGTGGAACCCACGCAGGTACTTGGGCAGTTCCTGGAGCAACAGACATGTGTACATGACAGCTGGGTATGAGACCCCTGTTGTGAGTTGCATGTTCTGTCCTTCTTTCCTGTTCAGGTTAACTTGCCTCATCTAGGAGGACCAAATGCTTTCCGGGGAGAAGTTTCTGCTAGGGAACAACCACTGAGTGGGCAAAGCCCCCACATCCCACCCTAGGCTTGGCACCATGGAGTGCAGGTTGATGTTTTTCAGACTGCAGGGCTCCCACCCCATCTTTGGCAATGGTGCTCTCTTCAGACACTGGTGCCACTCGACTCTGCCCAGGCTTGGCCGGCCCTCTGCTGAGAGGTGGGTACCCTATTTGTTAACACTTCGACTTCTCAGAGCAGGAGTGTGGAGGGAAGGAAGCACACCCACGCTGGGCTGCCTGGGGATGGCCTGGCCAGTGGAAGGGCAGTTTGGCTCTGGTACCTGGTGGTAATGGAGTATGATGTCTGCATTTATATCCTTCCCTGGGGACACGTTGAGCCATAGTTTCCGCATGAAGAACACCTGGTAGGGGAGTGTCACCGGAGCCCCTGGGCAAGGGGTAGCAGTGAGCATCAATTCTATCTTTCAGCCCCACTCTAGCCCTTGGTCACCCAATGCCCGGCAGACCTGACTTGGCTGTGGACCCCACCCACTACCTAACCCCTGCAGCCCACCATATTCTGCTTTTGCTCCTGCACTTCTGATTGGAAAGCCACCCACCCTTTCTTCCTCCTTGACTGTTGTCTCCATTTAACCTCAGGCATAGGGTGGGACCACCTTCCCAGAAATGTTGCTGGGTCTGTCAGTAGTTGCCTGGCCCCTGTGTAACCTGTATTACCCTGCATTGCACCATCTGCTCTGGGTCTGTTCCATGCTCTGCCCCTGCCTGAGTTGAGAATACTCCTGGGCAGGACTGAATTACCATATATGTGCCCTTTTTGCCTGGCACAGGGTCTGACTATTCCCCATGACTCAGGATAAACAAAAAGGCATGAAAAAATGAATGAATGAATGAGCATGGGAGCCATGCAGAAGGCCTCGGGGTCTGACTCTTCCCAAGTACAGGCCTGAGTATAGGGGAGAAGGTGAGTCTGATTTAGGGAAAGAGAAAGGCAGCCCTCCTCAGAGAGGCAGGTACTCCCTCCTCAAATACCCCCTACCCCACAGAGACCCCTCTTCACCTTCTTTCTGGGGCTTATTCTTCTTCACCCAGTCAGACACCTGTCTTAAGGAGTCAAAGAAGAAGTCTCCCTCCTTCTGACTGAAGACCTGGGGTAGGAAAGTAAGGGGTGAGTCAGGAAGGAGTGTAGGTGGAGCTGCCTCCAGAGAAGGTGTTGTAGGGGTTGGACCATGCTGACCAGACCACTGTTAGGTCATGTGGGCCTGAACTCTGGGCCTAGCACCTGCCTTCTTTCTGATTGAGCAGGTCAGCAAGGGGCCCACCCAGCACAAATGGGGTGGGTGACTGTGGCCCAGGCTGTCCTGGGCAGCCTCCATAGGCCCCATCCCGCCTACCCACCTGCTGGACATACCTTGTCAGCAATCTTGATGAAGAGGCTACAGCCCTCCCAGGAGGCCAGCTGCAGCTTGATGGCAATGTTCTGGCACATGTCCCGCACCCGCATGTTGGTGCCCACCTCCAGCATCTGGACAGAGAGGTGGCAGGTGAGGCCTAGCCCAGGATGCCCCCAAGTTACTCTGCCTGGACCAACTGTCAGCCTGGGACAACCCTGTGACACCCAACAGCTGTGCTTCCTAAGACTTGGGTTGGCCTGCTCTGAGCCAAGGCACACCTTCCAAAAATTAACTAGTTGTTTATATTGTTTAGTCACTACCAGGGACCAAGGAGTCCTGGTCTATGTTCTACCATAGGACTTAAATGATCGCAGAATTACAGAGACCAAAATGCTGTTGGGGTAGGCTGAGGGTAGCATTGCCACTTCAGCCTCCTTACCCACTCTTCATGTCTGCTCACTGGCTAGGGGCCTCTGCACCCCATTAGGTCCTGATGGGCCTTCCACCTCCCAGTTTACTTCTTCATTCTCCCAGCCTCAGTCACAGGGTTCTGCCCATTAGAAACACCTAGCAATGGCATAACTGTTGACCCTCCATCTGTAGAGAGACGCCCTTTGGGGCCCCACAAGTTCAGAAACCACAGCTTCCCCACCCACCTTTCTGGTCTCCTCCCAATCAGACATGCTGTGCCTCCCAGCCTGGAATGCCCAATTTATGCCTTGCTTCTCCTAGCCCTCTTCGATGATCCTCTCGATCCCCTAAATTGGGCCTGAATCAGCACAGCCCATGCTGCAGGCTGGTCTCAGAGCATGTGTCCTGTCCCAGCCCAGCCAGGGTCTGGTATGCACAGGGCACTTAGGCCAGGCTTGTGGGAACAGTTTCTTAGGGGAGATGGAAATGACAGGAGGACAGAAACAAGACACTGCTGACAATGGGCCCACGTGGATCCTGTGTCCCTCAGCTTTTCCTCTGCATATCAGCTAGAGGGTAGAGGCATTTGCAGTCCCCAGGAGGCTGAGACCCTTGTGCAGCTCAGCCTGCAGACGGAAGGATGTGTGGAAGGGCAGGACCACCTCACCTCGCTGGTGTCATTGGGGAAGTAGACTTTGTGGCGGATGCGGGTGACATTCTGTTCTGCAGCCTCCACCTCCACCTGGTGTGGGGGCTGCTTCCGGGGCCCCACCCTAGAACAGGACAGGACACTGTGGACACCACACTGCCTACCTCACCCACCGAGCTCTGGTCTCCAGACTTGGAGGGGAGGTAGGGGTGGAGAGAAAGAGTGCCTTTACTTTTTATCTGCTTTACACAGGAGACTTTCCAGCTATGTGCAAGAAATAAAACAAGGAATAATCTAGAGAGAGACCCATGCCTAGGGTGTTCAACACAAGTGACTCTCAGAGGAGGTCAGTGGAGACAGGCCTGGAGGAATACAGGTTGTCCAGGCCAGGGGCTCCTTGGTTAGGGGGCTGGCAGATGGGCTGATGGATGTCCTTGAGCTGGTTTGTGTTCTTGTTCTCACACTGCAGGGACATCAGCAAGGGGCAAGGGACTCAGTCCACCTTCCCCTGTATGGTCAGGGCTATTGCTGAATTCATGGAGCCAAGACCATGTTCTCACCCCTTCCCTGCAGCCTGAGGAAGCCACATCAGCAAAAACAGGAGGTACTGATAAAAACCAAGACTGATTCAAGGAAGAACATTCCAACTCTGGGAAGGGTAAGGTGCACACAGACTGGGAGGAATAGGCCTCTGACTACAGCCACACTCGACTGGGGCTAGTGTGGGAGAATGGATGACTCAGGGTACACACCTCCCTGACGGCTGCCTGTGAGCCTCTTGGCGTCACCCTCCATTGACTTCCTGAGTCTCAGTGGTTTGGTCCTGTCTTCCCACATTGATGCCAGTTTCTGGAGAGGACAGCCCTACTGGTGAGTTACCTTCCCCTCCTCTCCACTATCTACTGGACTCTGCATTGCTGGACACTCCTGATGCCAGGCCAGAGTTTTGGTGAGAATGCTAGCATCAGGCTCACCTCAGAACTCTCTGGATACGACGGCTGCAATCTGGAGCCAGTAGCTTCTTCCTTCGAGTGTCCACGAACTTCTGAGTATGGGGCAGTAGCACCTTGCTGGGTGGAAAAAGGCCTGTGCAGAGCCACAGCAACTGCCAGCCCCGCTCCTCGCTGTGCCTGGGGCAGGGGAATGAGGAGTGGCACCTGTCAGCTTGGAGGGCTCCCCACTGAAGTCAGTCAGAAATGTTGGGGAGCAAGTCAAGAGACCTGCTGAGAGGCTGTGAGATGTTTAAGAGGAGATCTGCCTGAGTAAAGAGGTACTTGGCCCAGGCAAGTCTGCACCATGACAGACACTGCCCAACACCATGTAAAGGTTTCATGCCCACAATCTCATCTGAGATGGGGAATGGACCTGTGCCCATTTTGTGGAGAGCAACACCATGGTTCAGTGATCCATGACCAGCTGAGTCACACAGGAGACTGGAGAGAGCAGGGCACTGGTCCAAAGAATCCCATTCCCTGAAGGAACATACTGTCCTCAGAGGTGGAGAGGAAGCAGAGTTTAGGAGTCTTTTCCTAGTGGGGGAATCAGCAGGGAAGCCCTGGGTACTAGCCCTCCTGTGCTGCTATGAGTACCCCTCACAAGCTGTTTAGTTTCCAAGAACTGCCGCTTCCCCAGCTGGGAAGTGATGGGCATAACTTCCAGGGCCAGACAAATAGACAGCCCATGTGTGGTGCCTACCCTCAACCAACCTGTTGGAGTTGTGCGTCAGCTGCTTCAGGATCTGGCAGTAGACCTCATCCTGCAAGGCCACATCCTGGAGAGCCAATGAGAAGATCTGGTCTGTGAGCTCCAGGGAGATCCAGGATTGTCGAGAGGGGTAGTCGCCCATGTACTTGAGGATGGGTGTGACTGTCAAGGGGAACTAGGCTATGGCTGGCCCCCAGGAGAAGAATTCTAAATCTGTCATCTCAGCCAGCTGACTTGGCCCCATGCTGACCTGACTCCTGCCCCCAAAAGGATCCTCTGACCCATGGATAGATATTGATCCATGACCTTGTCTCCACTCTGACCCCCAACCTCAGTCTATCAAGGTCTGGCCCCTCCAATCCAATCCAATGCTGCATTCTTCTGACCTCTGACCTTTGACCTGGTCTCATACTAACCCTCAACCCTGGGTCCATAGTAATCCTTGGACCTTGCAGCACACTAACCCTTCTTGACCTCAGTCCCACACTAAGTCTTGGCCCTGGTTCAACACTGATCCATTCTCCAGGCCCACACGCTGGTTCTGCCTGTGTTGTGTGAGGCTGCTCCCCTCACAGGATGGCTATGGGGACAGGGAGGAGTGCAGGTGCCATGCCCTGGGAGTAGTGCTGACTGAGAAGGATATCAGCAAATGTTTGACAGGCGTAGTCCCGCAGGTCAGCATTGGCATGGACACACTTGAGCAGAGGCTGCCGCAGTGGTTCACAAGAGTAGCTCCACAGGTGGCCCCGGGCCTGGGCCAAGGGGCGCATAGCTTTGCTGACTGTCTCCTTCTCTGGGGCCCTGTCAGAATGGAGGCCAGGCATGAGGGCTGTTTCATGGCTTCTCTCCCCTGGATCCTCTTCTGCCCCTCTGCCCCCTCCTCACCCTCTGTGTGGTGTAAAGCACAGTGTAGACTTCAATGAGCACCCCTTGGGGGCTGTACCGTCTGCACTCACTGGACTCATCTGCAAGGTATGTCACCACCTCAGACTTCTCGGGACTGGTGTGGGAAAGCTGCCCTGGGCTCAGTGGGGCTGCTGCCACATCCCTCTTAGCTTTTCTATGACTGTTTACTGTGGTCTCTTGCAGCCTTGGAAGGGCCAGGCTTGGGTAGGCACCTGAAGTGTTTATAGGAGAATTCCTCCAGAGTGTGTGGTTTCTCCTCGGGCTGCTCCTCAAGCAAGAATTCTTCAGGCTTCCCCTCCCGGGCTGCCAGCTTCCGCTTCTCAGGTGACATGGCCAGCAGACTCTGTAGGGGCATAGACTTGGGCACTCAGGGGCCACTACCCATGAGGTCCCTACTCAAGATTTACCCCTGGCCTACCCCTCCCAGGTCACCTCTCTGTGCTTGTTTCCTTTCCCTGAGGGGGATTAGCACTAATAGCTGTGAGACCTGACCACTATTTGGGATGCAGTCAGTTGTGTTTCTTTAGACTCATGACCCCTCTGTCCCAGGCCAACTCTCCTCAGGGGCATCTCTCATCTTGGCCCTGTTGCCTGGTTCCCCTCCTTCAGGCCAAAGCACAAACATCTCCCCTAAGGGAGATGTACCCATTACAATCATTATTTCTTCTTGGAAGCAGTTTGCACCTTTGGAATTAATTGGCTATTAATTGCAGTGCTTCCCGAGGCTAGAGCTACTATTGTGTTCAACTTTTATTGCAGGCACAGTGTAGGTAATAAATGGGCATATTGGAATGCTCCACATTACTAGTCATGATGTCTGGTCTTGGAGGCTGGGGTAGGGTTTATCACCAAGGTAGGAAGACACGGGCCTCCACAACAGGATTTAAGTAAGGCTGAGGCTGGGAAGAAGATGGTGTTGTCCCCAAATGGGAGAGGAGGGAGAGGACTTCCATCACAGAACACCTGCTAAGTATGGTGGGGGACACTGTCCAAACAGTCTGTGCCAATGTCATGATCACTCATACAGATGCTAGGGGCTATGGGATAACCTGATGTCTCAGATGCTAACTTGGGCCAACTCTACAAAGGTGATGTTCGGTTACCAGTAACTTCTCCGAGGGCTTGACAACAGTCGGAATGGTGTAGAGGCAGGCTGTGGGCACCAGCCCTGTTTGACCCGTCCTGTCACTTTGGACCAGAGTCCAGTTATCAGAGACCTGCTGCTCTTGCTTCTTCTTTAGGATCAGCAAGTCCCCCTTCTTGAAGGGCAGGAGGGTGGTGTCACCTGTGAGTGTAGGTCATTTAAATGGGGACAAAACTCACTGTTCAGTTGGATCTGCAGAGCCAGCTATATTCTAGCTTTTCTGACCCCTTAACAAATTAGGAAACAGGCACAGAGCAGTTGTTCAAGTTGGAATCCAGTGCTCAGGCCCTTCCCAACACCCATGCACCTCAAGAGCCTCACCCTGAAACAGAAGCCAGCCTGCAGGACAGGGATGGAAAGGGAAAAGTGCAGGATGGGGTCTCCGGTCCTGGGCCTGATAGAGCAGAGGCTGTGGACCTCTGAGATGTGACCTCTGAGATGGAGATACTGAGGGGAATACCCCCATCCTCCCAGAATCTGATGTGGGGACTGGCTACAGGGACCGAGATCACACTTTCAGGGGTGTCTGAAGACCCCAAGCCATAGCCTGCCAGCACAATGGTCAGTAACTACCTGCTTTCTTCTCTGAGTCCCAGGAATCCCTTTACGTTCTGAAGTTGCTGCATGGACTTCACTACCCCAGTCTTCCAAAGTACCCTCTAGGGCTGGGCAAGTGTGGGGCTGTGTCCCCACATCCTTTTCACAACCTCAATCCTCTGTTCCCCTTTCCCTGGAACTCTGACATGCAGGGAGGCCTTGGGGGAGAAAAGGACTGCTTAGAAACAGACCCCCTCAGCTGTCACTGGGCTGGCTATTTTCTTCTCTGAGCACCTGTTCTGTGTCTATAAAGTGGGGTGACAGAATGCGACTGATGTTAAAGCACAGGGGGCATCTAGGCTGTTCACTGGGGTATGGGAGGTAAGGACTTAACTCTTCTCCATGCTCTGGGCCAAGATCTACCCAGGAGGATTTGAGATCATCTTTTTAAATTGCCTCATTTTGCAGATTAGGAAACAGCAATGGAAAGAGGGAAGGATCGCTCTCAAAGCTGTTCAGCATAGTGGTCTGTAATCTCTTCCTTCTCAGTGGCCCTGTCTATCAACTGGCCTGTGCCCCTTGCTGTGCCCCTTTCTGCTGGACACCTGTAGCTTTCCTGTCTTCCAAGGCCATGGCAAACACGGACCGCTCCTTCAGGCCCTCCAGGAACATGGCCACCAGCTCTGCAATGGTCACACTGTTGGAAGTCGCAAACTCGTATTCCTCTTCATGCAGCGTGGAGAGCAGGAACCTCTGCCCGCCCTGAGCTGCCCTGAGGGGACAAAGGACACTGGGTGACCTCTGCTCTCTCTTATTTCATCCTAACATTCACCACAGGGGAGGACTCTCTGGAGCTACAGATTAGAGGCACTAACTCTCCAGGGCTAGAGCCAGAATCTGACAAGGGCATCTGGGCCTAGATCAGCACCACTCAAGTGATGGGGTAGGAGCTGGTGGGTGGGGATTATGGCCTGAAGCCCTGAGCTCAGAGGCAGTGGGATGTGCTCAGGCCCAGTATGTGAGGGTCAGTTCTGGGGAGATGAGGAGGTAGTGGTGAGTACAAAGTCACCATAGGGCAGTATATAGAGCCTAAGAAATGAGATAGGGCACCTGTTCTTATAAATCTGTGGACCTCAGAAACACCCAGGCCCCCACCCAAGAACCTGTAACTTCAAATGAGTTGCCGAGCTTCTATGTGGTCAGTTTATTCATCAGCAGAATGGGTGGTTTTGTAAGTCTTCAGAGCATACATAGAAAGTGCTCAGCACAGTCAGCCTCAGTTTATGATGGCCCAAGCACATCCACTACAGATGTATCAATCATAGTGGTCACTAGGGGTCATTTAGCCAAAAGGAGGCACTGGGAGGGTGTGAGCAGGGAATCCCAAAGTGTTTAGTGAAGAACCTAATGGAGAGCCATGGAGGTTTTGAGTGGGGGGATTGGGTGTGTCTGAGGCCCAGTCTAGCCTTGCACATACTCAGGCCTTTCTCCAGGAGATCCATACCTTTATCATGAGTAGCTCATAACCATGATGAGGCAAACCCACTGCCATATAGTTGATTACAACTCAGCGATCTATAGGACAGAGTAGAACTGCTCCATAGGGTTACTGAGACAGTTAATCTTTACAGGAGCAAACAGCTTCACTTTCCTCCCGTAGAGCTGCTGGTGAGTTTAGATTATTGATCGACCTTGTGGTTAGTAGTCTAGTGCTTAACCTACTGTGTCACCAGACCTTCTATAAACAGGGAAACCCCAAAACCAAACCTACTGCCATCCAGTTGATTCTGACACTTAATAACCCTGTACAGGGTTTCTGAGGCTGTAAATCTTTGTTGTTGTTGTTAAGTGCCGACTCATAGATACCCTATATAGGGTTCCCAAGGAACAGCTAGTGGTTTTGAATCACCACGTTGAGGTTCAAATTGACCTTGTGGTCCAGTGCTTATCCTATAGTGCAAGAAAGCCTCATCTTTCTCCTGAGAAGTGGCTGGTGGGTTTGAACTGTCATCTTTGCAGTTGGCAGTCCAGTGTTTATCCTATGATGCCACCAGGTCTCCTTATAAAGAGGGAAGATGCCTCCTAAACAAATGTGCACCAAGAAGGCTACACTTTGAGGTTGTTGTAATTCTTGTTAAGTGCTGTTGAGTCAGTTCCAACTTATAGTGACCCTGTATAGGGTTTCTAAGAAGCGACTGGTGCGTTTGAACCACCGACTTCATGGTTAGCAAGTCAGTTGCTTATCCACAACATACCAGGACTCTAGGTAGATCTGGATTTAAAAAAGAGATTACTGAAGGGACAATGTTAATGCACAGGAGTATTTTGGGGGGCATAAAATGACTACCACACCACAGCTATTGATCCTTGTTTCCCAGCACCAGCTGGTTCCTGGGAACAAGGAGCCTCCTCTCTCCTGTCTCTCTCCCTGAACCCCTGCTTCCTCAGATGCCCCAGATTCACTGCTTCAAAAATTAAGGTTGTGATTTGGGACATCTTCCCTCAGACCACCCACCTGTTGGTGACTAGGCCTGTCACCTCTGGGAAGGAGAGTTCTAGAAGCACTTTCTCTTTTTGGTCCAGGAAACACAACCCCTTCCAATTCACAGCTAAGATCAGCTGAGTCTTGGGCAGTCGAGGGCCTGGAAGGAGGAAAGGTGGTGTAAAGCCTGGGCTGGCCCCTGACCCCAGGCTTCCCCAACCTCTCAGGTGTCATTACCAGAAAGTGTGATGACTTCAAACAGCCGGGAGAAGAGCAATGGCCACTGCAGGCGAGCTGTGTCCACTACCTGCTCCTGCACAGCCAGTGCTGTCGCCTGCTTCTGGGTGTATGGTGCCTGAGTGAGCAAGAGCCAAGGCTGGCGATACTGGTGTCATCTCCACAAGGCACCTCCCATCCACCTCCACTGCCTTGCCTGGGTCACCTGCTACCCCACGCTGTCCCAACCCCTCAAGTTTGCTTTTATGATGAACCATTCTGTGAAGTTTTCAGGGGGCCAGAGATGTTCTGGTGGGCTGGTGCCAACCCCTTATTTCCCCTCCATTGGGTAAATGCCCTTCATGAAATGGTTTGGCGAAGACAAAAGGTTTTACACTTCTGTAACATCTGGATGCCAAAGGGTTGCAAGGTAGAGGTATTGCTCATTATATCTTAGCACTGAGATTGTGTATGTATCTGTGTGCATGTATCTCTGTGTGTCTTTCATATTTTTATACATGTCTCTTTGCACATGTGTCTCTGTGCATGTATGTGTTGCCGTGCACATATATCTGTGTGTGTGTGTTTTGTGTGTCTATGTGTGTGTGCTTGCTTGTACTTGCCTTTGCATACGTATTCATGGCTGATGGGTCTATGTGTCACTGGCACCCCTGTCTTCTCTAACATCTGCTTTGGTATATTTAGGGTGTGTCTCAAGAACCTCATACCTTCATCTCAAATCCTCTCCTTCTAGGTCCCTGTCTTCAAGTTTCCTTGCCCCTCTTTATTTACTTTTCCCGACACCTTCACCCTTTTCTCTCCTTTACCTATCTGACCCACAACTGGCTATAATATACAACAGAACTTTCTATTTACTGAGAGTTTGATAAGTAAAATGCGATTCTCTTGCTTCTACTTTAAAAAATGGCTGGATAACCTTCATATGGTAGTTTGGGAATTATGCATTGAATATTTTAGTGAATTCATACATTTTGATCCAGGAATCTCACCGTAGGGAATTTTTCTCGTGTAACAACTGTCTAGTGTATAGAAAGCAGCCAATCTTACGGTTTTAATAATGAAAAATGAGGAATAATGTTAACACTCATCAAAAGGATGGTGAAGTAAACTACAGCTCATTAATGCAATGAAGTCCTAAAGAGCATTGAGAACAAAGACAGAGGTTGCATTTAATGACATAGAAAGATCACCCCATATAATGTGATTGAGTGAAGTTGTGATTAAGGTTAGAAGTTGTCGATATGGTATGGTCCTATTTTTAAGTATATTTATCTCTCTATAATCATAGACATACTCATATCTTAGTTTTACATAGTTGAGCAGAAACCAGTCCCGAAGGTTAAAGACCACAATGTGATGATCTCTCTGATGTGGTATTATCAGTGATGCCATATTTTTCTTTGTATCTGTCTGTATATTCTCTGATTTATTTTGTCATGTATATGTTTTCAGTGTCCTGAGGCTGGACAGCACCAGAAATGATCTAGGAGGCTTTGCTGTCCCGAATCCCTGTTGTTAAGGAATATTTCCAGGGGTTGCTAATGAGTATCTGTGGAACAAGTAGTTCTGCACTCAAACACATTTGAGAAATAGTACAGAGCAAACCAACCAGGCTTCTTTACTGCAGCACTGCTCAGAGCTTCTAAGTGATTGTGCATTGTGACTTGCTAGGAGTAGGGCAGAGTAGGCAAGCAGCATTTCCCAAGTTAGAAAAGTATGGGTTTATGAGGCCCACTTTGTAAATGCCCCATCTAGGATGAAAGAACAGAGACTGTTTCTCTTGACTATCTCCCCTGAGCTCTGATGGCGTCTTTTGTCTGCATCTCTTTCCTGGCATTTATCTGTCTGACTCTGGGCAAAGCAGGGAAGGTCTTCTTATTTACTGACTTGTTCTTGGTCTAGAGTGCCACGGGGCAATCAGGAGTCATTAACTTCAAGGCTTGTATCCTCAGTGGCCCCACATACACAGCTATCCTACAGCAACCACACTGATGGAAGCTGGATGCAGAAGATAGCTGTGCTATGCAGACCCCTGGGAGGAAGATACTCCAACAGAGTGGAGGGATGTAAGCTAGGCTGGGAAATCAGATGTTGTATCTTGCTATCCCTTCTTGAGGTAGGAATTTGGTGGAGCACAGCAGCAATCTCTTCTGGGGAGGGTGACTATAAGAATGATGCCTGGGGGTAGCCATGAGGCAGGGACATTAGTGAGCCTCTGGAAGAGCTCTGCTCTGGGTTACATCCACATAGGAGGCTGTGGGGAACAGCTTTCCTGCTTTCCAGACCAACAGACTGCATGCAGGACCTGGGAAGGGCTGCAGAAGGGCTGGTGGAGACTAGGAGTCAAGAGGGAAAGGCTTCAAGGACAGGGCTTCAATGCCAAGGTCACAGCATGATCAGTGGTCAGCAGCTATGGATGGCCTCACAGACCAAAAGTCCAAGGCACAGGGATGGGCTGTCCCACCTACACCCAGAGATCACTTAAAGAGGAATGACAGAGGAGCCTGTAGTAGTGAACAAAGTTTCCCTGCTACTTGGGGCCAGGAGGGTCCATGGGGGAAGGCCAGTTAATAGAGATGGAAAGACTCCATCTCCTCTACACACAGGTTGTAGGGTAGATGCATCGAGGTTGCAGAGCAGATACTCAACTCTCCCAGGAGTGGCCAGGCTGTGGGGAGGCTGACCTTCTTGTAGGTAGCAGTAACGAGGCTAGCCCATCTCTCTGGGGGCTTAGTCCTGTAGAGCTTGGCGGGGATGCAGCTGGGCAGCAGTTCCTGGATGGCCTCATTCTCCATCAAAGTGCCACGCTGTACATAGCAGTGCTGGGCCAGCAGTTCCACAAGTTCTTCCTCCTGCAGAACCCCATGGGCAAATGTGGCAGATGGGCCCCACCCCTTACCCAAGCTCTCCCCAACATAGCAGATCTGACAAGTGGCTCAGTTGGAACTGGTCCTCTAGGCAGGAACTGCCTTTCCCTGAATAAAACCACTACATCTCTTGACTGGACTCAGTGCAGGTGAGACAAAGGAGACCCCCTTTGTCCTCTACCACCCATTGGGGAGTTAGGGAGTGGTAGGAAGTACAGAAGCTTGTAAGGAGCCTCAATGTTGGTATTATCAGCTGGGTAAATGTGGACAAGGCCTCAGTCTTCATTGATAAAGAGGCTTCTGCTAGGACTTGTTAGGTGGGACCCTGTGTCAGAGCCCAGCTCTAAGCAACCCTGCTCTTTCTGGGAGACCAAAGCCTTACAGAGTTTCTAGCTGCCTTGCATCTAGTCCCTGTGCACTATCAGTTTCCTACTTCCAGGGCTTAATCTTACACTACCTCTGCCTTCTTACCGCCCTATTCTGCTTCTAAGACTCTGGCCCAGCCTCCAGCCTCAAGAACAGCTGTCTCCTAACTCATTCTCAAGTTTCCACCTGCTGAGCAGGTACAGTGCTGCTTCCAGTCTTAATTGTTACAACAAACTTACAAAATAGGCACTGTCTCACTTGGAACTTTCTAGATGTAGGTCTGAGGCTCAGAAAGACGACTTTCCAAGGTCACAATACCCAGAAGAGGCAGAAGTGGGACCTGAACTCAGGTACTAGAGCTTCCCACTGTGTTCTAAGACTACCAGGTCTCACTGTCCTATAAACAGTTGCTATGGTAGGCCTGGGTCTGACTGTCTTCCTTGGTCCCCCTTCTATCCTCTTCCTTCTTGTCTGTGGTGCTCCTATGGACAATGCTCCCCACTTCCCTCTGCCTTTCCACATTCTGTTCTTGCCTGCCTCCTGCCTTCTCACTCTAATGAGACTTTTCCTCCACAAAGTGCTTCCTAGTTGCTGCAACCCAGGCTGTTGCACTGATTGCTTCCCCTGGAACCCAATTCTCTCTCAGGACCCTCACCTTCTCAAAGCTGTACTCGCCAGAACACACTCCATGGATGACTTGGTGATAAATGAGCTCGGTGCTGATAGGGTCTTCCTTGGAGTTGTGCCAGGGGGTGAAGAACTCCTTCCGGAAGTAGATGCGCCAGGGTGACTGGCGCTCACTCTCACCCCGCTCACGGGCCAGCTGCTCACATTGGGCAATGGCATCCATCACGTGGTCACGCCCACTGCCCAGTGACCAGAACTGAGGCCAGAACCAGGTAGCAGGTTAAGTGGCTGCTGGGAACCACAGCCCACAGGATGCCCAACCTCTGTACATGTGAATGAAAGGTGTGCTTGCTACCAAAAGGCTGCTCCTGTAAGATGGGGACCTCAGAACTCAGCATAAGTGCTGGGTCAAGCTGCCCACTATTTACTTCCACTGAGTTCAGGAGCTACTTCTGGATATCTGAGTTGATTCTTCAAGTGGGTATGGCCAATGGATGCACAGGTTGACCCTGGATGAGGTGATGTGGCAGAAAGTGTGGTGTGATGGTTTGAATGTGTCTGTGTCTGAGGTGTCCACGCTGCAGGTGTGGAAATCTGGGTGTCTGAGTGAGCAGCCATGCAGGGTTTAGGTAACCTTTCATGTCAGTGTAACCCTTTCCATCAAGTTGTGTAAGAGGGATGGGAGTCTGCAGTTTCAGTGGAGGATGACTTGGAGCAGCATGTATGAGTGTGTGGGTTGGCTACAATCCCTGTCAGTGTGCATGCAGTGAGCAGGGGGACACTGGGCTACTTCAATGGCAGGAAGTGACAGGTATGAGAGAGACACTGGTTGGGGTTGAGGTACAGATGCTAGAGTTGCATATGTGAACATCTGGGTCAGGATGATGGGCAAGTTGCTGGTTGTGAGGGCATTTCTGTGGGTATATATGTATATGTGTACATTGTATTCATGCATGCATATATATGTGTGCACATATGTATCTGTCTGTGTTTGTGTAGACATGTGTATGCACCGAACAGGTAGTCATGGGGTAAGGACTTGAGCTTTGGGACCTTTTAAGCCTGGATGTCTGAGGGTGGGTGGGTGATGGCTAAGACTCAAAGGAAATACCTTGCTGTACACTGCAACGTGGAGAGAAAAGCCCAGATGGTCGCTGAGGCCCTGCTTACAGGCAATGTGCAAGCAGACTTCCCGAGCTGTGGAGGCTGAGTCAGCCATGAAAGTCAGGGTCTCTCCAGTTACCAAGATGACATGGATTGGGATGTGCTTCTTGGACTTGACTGCCTGAGAGACAGATGGAGATTCAGGACTCCCGGCCCCCTGGGCTTGGCTACTGCTTGGATATGCCTGGCTCCTGGCTTTGTGAACTTCAGAGTAAAGGCCAGCTCACTGTCCCCATCTCACCTATGTACCTCTCTGAAACCCACTGCTCCTGCTTTCCCATCTCCATATTTCCTGGGGCCTGGGATCTTCTGAAGCCCCAACGTGCCAGCCACAGGGATCTGCTGGAGTTAACTGTGAGGACCCATGACATCTGTTAACTAACCTGGGAGACACTTCAGGGTTAGGAGCAATGCTCCTCTTTCATGCCTATAATCTGTGTGTTTATAAGGCACCCCAGAAGCTCCTTTCAGATCAGAGCTTTGGTGAAGTTGAAACATGGTCTGAAGAGCTCTCTCAAATTTCTAAATTCATTAATTTGGAATGTTTTGAGGTCAATGAGAGCTATATTCTTACAAACATAGCTGCTACCAGTTCACCTGCAAATTCCAGAGGTTATGAACTAAGCAGGTAAAATAAAGTGGGTAGTGAGGGAGTCATGGTAGGCTTGGGTGAGTGGCAAGAAGTCAGAAGGGGCTACAGCAAGAAATAGCCCCCAGCCACTTCCTGTTGTAGGACAGAAGACCTGGCCTAAGGAAGGTATCCATACTGCCTGTCACTTGCGTCTGCTGGCACCTACCTGTAGCTCCAGCCAGGTAGGAGGCTCCACACGTGCCCCATTGACACAGGTACGTCTCAGGCGCTCAGCACAGAAGGGTCCATAGCCTGCCGGTCCTTTACCAATGAAATTCAGCAAATACTAGTGGGTGAGGAAAGGAGAGGAGAGGAAGACACTTAGAATAATTTTTACTTAATGCCCAAACAAAGATTTTAAAAATGATTAATTCAGTGTTGGTGCAGGTATGCTGAGATGGGCATTCACACACTTAAGAAGAAATATGAATCAGTGCAATCTTTCTGGGGAGCAGTTTGGCAATATGTGTAGTCTTAGAATGTTCATACTCAACCAATAATTCAAAATCATATTAAAATATATACAGGGGGCTTCAAAAACTTTGTTGAAAAATGAAATGAAAAGACAATGACATTTTTCTACAAACTTTTAAAAAACCCCTTGTGTATGTGTGTTTGTCATGTACATATTTTAAATCCCGGTGTTATTTCTAATAATGAACAACTGGAAGCCTCATAAATGGCCATCAACAAGTGAAGTATCTTTTAGGACAACAATTTAATAGATGGCATTAAAGCTGCTTCCTGCTGCCTGCCAGAGGACAGGTGAGGAAGTCCAATTGATTGTTTGTACAGTCACTAACATGACAATGTAACACCATACAACACCATAAGAGAAAATAGTAGAAGTTACCTCTGGGCATGGGGTGACTTTTACTTTCTTTTTAGAGGTTCTCCATTTTCCATATATTACTTAGAAGTCAGAACAAAAAATGTCTTATAGCAGCAAAACCCTTGAAAGCACCTCCCACAACATGCCCACTCCATTTTCAGTTTTAAGGACTCGAAAAGGCACAGAAGCTGACCCCCAGTTGGTACCCAATCCCAAAATTCCTTTATCTTTCTCACACACATTTAATTCACTATCTCATTTTAGCCTCAAAAGATCCTTGTGGATACTGAGTTAGGGCTGGAAGGTTTTCTCAGAATCTCAACTCATGTTCTTCAGATACTTTTCTTTTTTAATGATGGGGGAAAAGGTGTAATTTGAGATTCCACAGTGCCTTGCATATAGTTGTTGTTGTTGTCAGGTGTCATCGAGTAGGAACCGACTCATAGCGACCCCATGCACAGCAGAACGAAACAATGTCCGATCCTGGGCCAACCTCACTACCGCTGCCACCTGGCCAATCCATCTCGTTAGGGGTCTTCCTCTTTTTCTCTGACCCTCTACCTTACCCAGCATGACATCCTTCTCCAGCGACTGTTTCCTCTGGAGAATATGTCCAAATTGCATATAGTAGGTGCCCAATAAATATTTGTTAAAAACAAAAACATCTTTAACAGATGGGGAAACTGAGGCCCAAGGAATCATAGACACTGTTGTTTATCCTGGCTTGCAGTACAGAATTATCCAGGGACTTGGATTTCCACAACACCCCTCCTGGCCCCCCTCAACACACACACCCCATCCCAGCCCTACCTACCTTCATGAACTTCTCTGAAGGTGGGAAGCAGCCCAGGCAGAGGCTAAGCAGGATCCAGCCCCGGGCCAGGCTGCTTATTTTTAAGTTCTCTGAGAGCTGCTTGCATATCTGACAGTAGACCTCATCCCTGAAATACACAGATCAGTGGTAGGGCGGGTTGGGGTCTCAGAGGATTGGGAGGGGAAAATTCAGAGACAAAGGTGTGGCCATATGCCCACTCCAACACCTTGGGGAGGGGGGTCATGTTTCTGGGTGGCCCTCCGCTCTTGGGCCTTCCCAACCTCCTCACCTTTAACTACTTTTGCTGCCCCTGCCTGGGGCCACCTGACCCAGCACCAAGCCATCTCAGCTCTCTTTAACCCTCATTTCCTAGCTCACCAAACACCAGTCCCTCATGCCAGTTTCCCATCATTTCAGTCATTCAGACCTTTCTCTCTCCCTTACTCCCTCTCTTGTCTGTACAACAATGACAATGTATCTCATGACTGTTACTACCTCAGCCTCTCCACCCTAACCCTCCAGCTGTAGGCATGAGTGAAGCAGCTGCCCAGACCTCAACAACCCAGCTCTTTGCATGACCTGGTCTGCTCACAATTATTTCAAACCTTTGTCTCTGTCCCCTAACCCCTTCTCTTAATGTAATCACACACCCTCCACTGAAGAAGGAAAAGGGGGGCATTTCATGGGAGATCACGTAACTCTTCACTCCTAACCAGGTCCCATCCTCATAGGTTCATGAGTCCCTCCTCTGCTTCCTTCTGCAGGGCAAAGATTGTGTGTGTAGTTCTCCTGGATCCTTCTTCATTGACTATATCCCCTGTCACCTTATGAAAGTGCCCCATTTGGATGTCCTTCAAACCCAACATATCCAGAGGCCAACATCTTTCCCCTAATATCCAGTGAAGTGCTGATGAATGTCCAACAACTAACTCTACAGGGGTTAAAAAGCCCTAAATTGTATTCACCAATTTCCATGATGTAAAGAGTCCCACCAAGGCCCATTTCAAGCTACACTATGCTGTTGTCCCTGAGTGCAGAATTAGGAAAAGACTTGTACAGTTGACTGGTAAATTATCTCTAGTCCACCTCTGCTTTCTACAGTACCTTCATTATAGACTCCCTAGTCTCCCAAATTTAGTCAGTCCTAACATCCTACCATCTGCTCCTGAATGTTTTCTCTGTCCCCTTCTCTCATTCTTCCTTCCTGGGCCATTCCTCATCAGGTATCTCTGACCTCTGGAATAGCCACCTCCTACTCTCCTGACTCCTTCATGCTGTTGCCAGGGATATTTTTCTGGAAGTCAACTATGATCAAGGTCCTGTCTTATTTAAAACTTTTCCCCACTTCACTTAGGACTGAATTCAGATGCTGTACCCAGCCAAGACACTTGGGATTCCAGATGCATTAGGCTGTTTCAAGGCACCATGACCTTGTTTATCCTCTCCCTTATACCTAGTGAGCACCGTTTCTCCTTTTCACCTCACTTGATCCACCAGGGCATTAAGATCACTCCTCCTTGTTCCTGTACTGGCCCCTGAACAGACTCCTATTTTCTCACATCTAATTATTATGGCTTTCTTGGTCCTTCTGGCTCCAAAACTAAAAAAAACGAGCTTCTCAAAGACAGACATGTCCTCCTCCTCTCTCCTTTTCAGAGCTCAACCCAGGGTCTGACTCTGACTGGATACTTAATATACGTTTATTGTAAGTATAACCAGATGTGGATAGGGCATTTGTGTTTGTTCTTGATTTGGCTCTAAGACCAAGTACAAATAGATGATAATACCCAACATTATAAAGAGACACATTCTCTTAGGAGATACTAAAATATGGCAGGACCAGTCCAGCCACCATACCACCTCCAACCTGTATATGAGAAGACTTGACATTTTGAAGGAACTTCAAAATCATAGCGAGATCTCTGGCCTATCTCAACTTCCTCCAAATAAAGGGCACTCAGGAAATCCCAAGAAACTGCTTATAGGAATGAGGGCTATCTGCCAGAGACAAGACACATCTCACAACCCATCTCAGTTATATTGAGTTGCAGAAGTCCATCAGCTCACCCCAGGGTATTTGGAATGTAAGACCCTGGCCTTGGGGGATTCCACTAACAGGAGCCTGCTACTTCCTGAAGAATTTACGTTACCCACAAAGGAAAAATGGAGACAAAAAAAGACAAAACTGGGGAATTTCACTTATACTGCTGGGATATGTTGATACATGAGCCAAGAGAATGCCACAGAACAAACTGGGCTGACAACCTTGATGGAAACTTACACAAGCAGGCAGTCCATAATTCCATACCACTCAGAAATAAAAGGCTGTGGGATGTTTCACTGTGGAGCTGGAATTGGCAGAGGAGCTCAAGTGATAGGTGAAAGTGTCAGCCCCAGTTTGAGATGTACACCGAGTGGAAGTCTCTGCAGAGGGTATCTCAAGAACCCACAGTACACCTCCCTTAGAGCTAACAGATGTCTCCTATATTAGAGTATGTGGTGGTCAATGAGGTTTAAGCCATGGAAGAACTACCACTATTACAAACAAAGTGAGAAAATTTGCCCAGTCAGTGTCACAAAAGCCAGCTAAAACTCAGATAGAAGCTCTGTAGTTTTACTGGCTTGAAGAATCAGAACAGAGTTTGGGGTAAACACAGCAGCTGAAAAGTGAGGAGGAAAATCTCAGAAAGGATCAGAGGAGGAGAGTCCTAAATGCTGCATAAATTTCTGCACATGTGGATTGACTCCAGGTAGTACATCTATGACTGAAGTAACTGGACAGAGATTCTAGCAGTTACCTGCACAGGAAAGATACTCAAGTTAATTGCCTGCTAAAACAAAAAATCAACACTCTTTGAAAAAAGTAGACTAGGATTTAGAGTTTCTAACTGTATCTTCTTTAATGTCTTAAATATATGTACTGAAGAAATAATAGTAAAGCACTAGGCATACAAGTACGTAACAGGAAAATATGACCAACTCAAGAAAAAGGTAGTAAATGGTTATCAATCCTATGAAAACCCCCGTGTTTAACTTAGCAGAAAAAGATTTAAAAACCATGATAATTAAGCTCAAGGAGTCCTTGTGTGGCTCTGTAGGATAAAGCAGTTCAAACTCACCAGCTGCTCCTCAGAAACCCTATATAGAGTTGCTATGAATTAGAACTGGCTCAACAGCACTTCACAACAACAATACTCATAGTGAATAAGCAAATAGTAAATCTTGATTGAGGGGGAGAAAGCTATTTTTAAAAACCAAGTATAAATTCTTGGTATAAAAATACAGTATCTAAAGTAAAAAAATTATTAGATGGGTGTAACAGCAGATTGTGGAAGACAGAAAAAAAATTAGTGAATTTGAAGACAAATCAATAGAAATTATCCAACCTAAAGAACAAAAGGGGGAAAAAAAAAAAGAAATAGAAAATAAACAGTCTTGGGGACCTGAAAGACAATATAGAAAGGTTTTACATAGGTTTAGTCTGAGTTTTGGAGTCCTGCTGTGGCACTGTAGGTTAATGTGCTGGACTGCAACGTCAGTTTGAACTGCAAGGTTTGTGGTTCAAGCTCACCAGCTGCTCCTCAGAAACCCTATATGGGGTCACTATCGGACGGAACTGACTCGATGGCATTTAACAACAACAAAGTCAGAGTTCCAGAAGGAGAGGAGAAAGATAATGGTGCAGAAAAAACTATTTGAAGAATAATAATTGCCACCAATTTCCCAAATTTGCTTAAAAAATATAGTGTACCATAAAGTAAATCCCTAAAATATAGGAGTCCGTCTTGTGTAGCATTACATGCTTCTTAAAATTTGCATTAAAATCCAATACCTCTGAAGCAAATTGTATAAAGCAAAATATAAGGAACCTGCTAATTTATATGGGCTTGGCGCTAGAGCCTACTCTAAAATGAATCACTAGCTTGTGATGAATATATATTCATAAAAGTGTTTTACTCATGAGTTCTCTTAACACAAAGCAAGTAGAGAACCTTTGGTGGCTATATTGTTTGTTGTACTGAGACCCAGGCTGCAGGTTCCAGGATCAGAGAGAAGGGGAGGTCTCCTGGATCAGAGAGAGTAAAAGGGAGGCTGTGAACATGGGTGAGAATCAATGAGGGGATCCTCTGTTCTGAATGGAGAGGTGGGTATAGGGACAAACCTGAGGTTGGGCCGTAGGATAGCATGGGCCACGATGAAGTGTACCTTCTCCAGGTTGGACATGGGTTGGTCTGAGATGGGGGTGTTGGACTCAAATGCCTCTTCTTTGATACTTAGCTGGCTGGCCACCTTGAGATGCAAAGATGACAGTTAGGACAACTGAGACTCCCCATTTACCAAAGCGGACCCTGGGATTCTGAGCAGAGTGATAGCCTAGAGACCCACATCAGGCCAGTGGCAAAGCTGGGATTAGAACTGCAATCTTCTAGATCCAAGCTTATCTGGCTTTTGATCTGGGAGGACTGCTTCAGCTTTATGGAGTTCTCCTTGATCCCTCTATACCTGTGGCTGAGTCTCTACGGAAGAAGACAGTTCCTGAGGGAAGGTGAACAAGGCCCTTACTGAGGGAGAGTCGAGTAGCCTGGTGGCTGCTCCTTCTGTTCTGGGAGGGAGCTCAATGATTCAAGCTCTCACAAGACAGTCAGTCATAGGCAAGCCACTTGTGCCAATTCTACCTTGGGTTTTCTGCCTAACTGCCCATCATGGTACCCACTGTAGACCCCAGAAATCCTTGCCTCTGCCTTCCACTTCTTACCCTTGCCTGCCCAGTGTTGGCATGGAAGTTTCCTTAGTGAGCTTCTCTTCTCCCTCATATACCAATCCTGTCCAAGGCCTGCTCCAGGGACAGCCTTCCTGTTGCTCCTGCCTTGGGTGTCCCACAGCAACACTGTTGTGCCATTGATGCAACAGTTCCTGACTGTTCTATGGGTTCCATGAAATTAAGGTGGGTTTGTCCCTGGGTTCCTGCAGGCTTGTGACTGCATTCCTGTGCATGGCCTGGGTCTCGTCCAGAGTCATCAGGCTGGTGAAGATGTAGGACAAGAGGAGGATGGATGAATGGTCCTCTGTCTCAGAGCTTCCTCTGTCTTAGAGCTCTCATTTACATCTAAGTGTCAGCCATGATGACAATATCTGCTTCACAGGCTTCAAATTTCAATCCTGAACATTTTCCCAGCCCAGTCAAATCTTTTAGAACCAGCAGTTATCACCTGCCTGCCTAATGGTGGTTATGACCTCTCAGCCTCCTGTTTCACAGCCACAAACTCAGAATGAGGATTGCAGCCTTCAGATCTTAAGCTTTTCTTCAGGGAATTCTCCCCGCCACCTCACCCCAACCCCCACACACCTGCTCTGCCATGTTCTGGGTCTCCTTGACTCCAGCTCTAGTAATCCTGCTGCTGAGTGCTTCCTTACCTTTTCTCATGACCCCTGCACTTCATCCCAGTCATGACATAGCCCCCTAGGCTGAAAGAATTCCATGCCACCAAGTTCTGGTTAATTTACAAAGCCCTGTGCAGGCTCCCAATCCTCCCAGATTTCACTGCACTCAAACATCACATATCACCATCCTCACTTCCAGGTGAGGAAATGAGGCTTAGCCCAAGGCTGGGCAACACTGCACAGTCAGGGAGGGCTGGGACCTGTCATCTCATCCACAAACTTGTAAGCCTCTTGAGGCAGGACTAGGTCAGAGGTGTTTCCCTATACCTAGCACAGCCCTGGCCACCATCACACTCATGAATGATCTCACTTTATTGCATTTTGCAGATTCTGCATTTTTGTTTTCGTTTGTTTGTTTTTTGTGGCAATCTGCACTGAGCAGTGTGGTATTGTGTGTTAAAGCACTGGACTGCAAGGTCATTTGAACTGCAATGTTGGCGGTTCAAGCTCATCAGCCACTCCTCAGAAACCCTATACAGGGTTGCTATGAGTTGGAATTGACTTAATGGCACTTAACAACAACAACAATTAGTGCCATTTTCCCAACAGCCCACTTTAGGAAAATGAGCCTAACGTGCTGTGGGCTAATGCACTGGAATGCAGAGTTGGTTTGAACCACAAGGTTGGTATTTCAAGCTCACCACCTGCTCCTGGGAAACTCTATGCAGGGCTGTTCTGGGTCAGAACTGACTCGATGGCACTTAACAACAAAAACAGAAACAAAGATTTACAGCCTCAGAAAACCTACAAAGTCATTATGAGTCAGAATCAACTGGATGGTAGTAGGGTTTTGGGAGTTTGGTGCTGTCTTTGGGTCTCTGTGTCTCATTCTGGTAGTTCTCACAATGTTTTTTAAAATTTTCATAATGCTATTGTTGTTGTTAAGCACCGTCGAGTCGGTAGCAACCCTGAACAGTGTTTCCGAGGCTGTAAATCTTTACATGAGCAGAAAGCCTAATCTTTCTCCTGCAGAGCAGCTGGTATTTTCGAACTGCTGATCTTGCAGTTTGCAGTCCGATTCATAACCACTACGCTACCAGAGCTCCTTTCATAATGCTACTGTATGTTTAATATACCACAGTATAGTGTAATCATAGCTTTTATATGCATTGGGAAACCCAAAAACTCATGGGATTTACTTTATTGCAATACTTGCTTTACTGCAGTGGTCTGGAACAGAATTTGCAATATCTTCAAATATACGTATAAAAGTTTGATGAGTGAAGTTGAATGCTTTCTGCACCATTTCAAGGCAGTAATCAGGAAAACCCAGGCTGCAAGACTGTTCTTGCCCCTGTTGTAATCTGTTAGTCTCCTTTGGTGAAGGGTGCGTTGTCATGACTAGGGTTGGGAAGAATCTGCTGTCAAAATTAGTTTATGAGGTGTGAGGTATAGGAGCCAATCAGTAACCAGGGCCCAGGCCGTCTTTGACTGAGCCGCCTGGGTCTAAAGCATGCTAGCTTTTGGCTGAGGGTGAGGGTCTGATTATTGCCTCTGCAAAGCTAGTGGTAAGGAACCCTGGTGGTGCAATGGTTAAACATCTGGCTGTTAAGAGAAAGATGGGAGGTTTGAACCCACCCAGAGATTTTGCAGAAGAAAAGACCTAGCCATCTGCTTCCATAAAGATTACAGCCTAGGAAACCCTATGGGACAATTCTACTTTGTCTTATAGGGTTGCTATGAGACAGAATTGACTCAATGGCACACAAAGAAAAGCTAGTGGTGGTACAGGGACTGAATGTGGCTTGTGGTAGCTGGCTAGCTCCCTGCCATGGCAGTGAGGGGAACACAATGGATATTGATTGACATGGGAAGGAAGGACACCTTGAGGGTTGCTTCCTCCTGTGCTCAGCCTCCCAGAGGGGGAAGGTTTCCTCAATTTGTGGCTGCTAGTCCTCAAGGGGGCCCTGTGATGCTACCTGCCAGCATTTACACCCATGTGTAAATTTATACACAATGTGTAAGGTTTGGTCTGTGTGAACAACAGCATGACAGAGTAATGGGATATGACTTCCAAGATAGGGCTGCACCTTCCTCCCTGCTTTGTCTCTTGGGTCATTTGCTCTGAGGCAAGCTGGACTCCATGTCCTGTGGACACTCAGTAGCCCTATGGAATGCTTCATGAGTTAAGGAATTGAGATCTCCTGTCAACAGTCCTGTGAGTACACCATCTTGGAAGTGGATCCTTCAACCTGCCAAGCCTAAGATGATTGTCACTCCAGTATACATCCTGATGGCAGCTTCAGGAGAGACCCTGAGCCAGAACTACACAGCTACTTGCTCCCAATTATTTACTCTTGGGAATTATGTGAGGTGATGAATATTTACTTTCTAAACTTCTAAGTTTTATCCCATAACTAAAGATAACTAGTATATTCTGATAGAGCCTACACCTCCAGTGACCAGAAGGCCAGGGCTTGAGCCTAAGAAACTTCCAAAAAAGATTCCTTAGCATTTGCCTGGTGTGTGGGCTGGTCATGAGCTCTTGCTGCATGGTGGTCACTGAGTGTGTACTACCATGTAAGTCCTTTAAACTTTTCCTGATTAGGCATTGTGGGTTAATGCACTGGACAGCAAAGTTGGTTTGAATTGTAAGGTAGGTGGTTCAAGCTCACCAGCTGCTTGTTGGAAACCTTATATGGGGTTGCTACAGGCCAGAATTGACTCTACAGCACTTAATAACAACAACAAAGTGGGCAGGGGCAGTGCAGGCATGGGTTAAAAGTTTGGTCTTTGAATTCTGAAGAATGGATTCAAATCCTGGCTGTCATACGTATTTGCCATATTTGGGGGCACGCCACTTCACCTACCTGAGCTTCAATTTATTCAGGTATAGAATAAGCAGAATCATTCCTATGTTGTAGGGTAGGAACATACAACTGGGAATTAAATGAACAGAGAAACAACTGGCCCTACAGATGCTCCATCAAAAACAGCATCTTCAATGTTGTGCTGTTATTGCTATTGTATGTTCTGAATCCTGTTCAAATCAAATCTAATATTCAAAAGTAGAGGACTCTCTCTTTTCATGATTGTATGAACAAAAAGTCCTGGGTGAAATCCTCGAATCAGGAATTCAGTCATGATTCAAAACTGAACAGCCCCAGGTGACCCTGGTTCAAGGGCTGAGTTCAAGTTTCATCTCCCCATTTGTTGTCTGTATTTTCCCAGGCCTCAGGTTGAATGCTGCCCTCCTCTGCCTGCCACCCTTGCACCGCACCTGTGCAGCTCCACCAAGCTTCAGAGACTGCGTGCTGCGCTCATTGTTCAGGGTGTTGTGGATCTGCTGTATTGCTGAGGTGCCACTCAGGTTGGTCTTGGCAAAGACCACTGGTTCCGGGAAGTCCCCCATGAACCTCATGATGATATGGCACACGGCCAGTGCAACCTAGAGAAATGGGCAGAGGGTCCACTGAAACCCCAGCTGTAACACTGCACACATCCCTCCCTAACCCAATATCGTGCCCCTTCCCTCTTTCTTCTTGACCACAGCCCCGACTCCAGTTCTGGGTACCGAGCAGTCCATGTCATCCTCATGGTAGAGCAGTGGGTGCTGCAGGGGCCGCCGGACGTGGGTGTGGCTGGCTAACTTCTGGAAGTAGGTCGCAGCAAACTTGGGAAAGGTGTACTCTGACAGACTGTCTACTTCCGTCTCTGGCTCTTTTGCCATAGGGACTGTGTCCAGATCCACTTCGGGCAGCTGTTCAATCTTTGTTTCCAGATCCTGAGGACCAGTTGGGAGATAGGGGTCTATGAGGTAACAATTAGCCACTGGTGGGGTGTGCACTAAGGGGAGGGCTGAGAACTGTCTGCCTGGTTATATGAAGGATGCAGAGACCTCTGTCTCTCCCCCTGTATTGAGGCCTCCCTTACCCTCTGCCACTTACCCCACCACTTTCAGAGGGGCCCTGGAGGCTTCTGTGGGCTGGGCCTCCTTAAGAATGTTTACGCCATACGATGGCCACCCTTAAAGAAATTGCCCTGCAACCAGGCTGTCCTTAAACATCCTCTTGCCTGCCTACTTGCCTGTCCTCTATCATAATGGCCTCCCCAATATTTCTGCAGAGGCTGGGCCCAGCATGCCCACTGTGAAGTGAGTGTGTGAAGGCAGCCAAGGCCCTCAGCACCCTGGGTCCCCAAGCCCAGCAAGGCAGCCCAAAACAAGATGTGGAGGGTAGCCCTGAGGATACAGTTCTGCTCCTGCTCTCCTGCCCAGGACCATAACTTGCAGAGCCAGCTGCCCAGTGTTCTGTGAGAGAAGGGGTCAAATACTTGGGGTGCCATACCACTTCTAAGTCCAAGAGCACTCACGTAGTAAAAGCTCTAGGAAGTGTTGCAGTTAAGAAACCAGCGTTTTTGGTGGGTGTGACCACAGAAACTCCCCTATCCCTCCCTCATCCCCCACCTTGTCTGACAATCACTGGGGCCTGTGGAGTTCACTTTGGCTGCCTATTCTAGCTACCCAACCAGAAAGGTAAGGAACTACGTGGAGTCTTCCTATCTTTGCCTGGAGCTGAGCCATAAATGAATGACAAGGGCAGGTCTTACCTCAAAGTCTGCTGGGGTCTGACCCTCCTGTCCTCCAATCATTGAAGGGAGGAAACCGAACACTTTCTCCACCATCTCTGTGTCAGTGACAGTGTCATAGATGGACTTGGATTTCTTGACAGGGAGAACACTTGGGTCCTTTTGCTCTGCAACTGGGATGATCAGTGGTCCCTGCATGCAGCCATGGGGGAAAATTACCACAGATGTGACGCTACTGTGGTTGCCTAGGCTAAGTACTTCATAGAAGCAAAACACACTTTGTGCTGCCATCATTGGTCCAGATAAAATAGATTTTGTTCTGAAATTATAAATTTTAATAGCTAGACATGATTAGAGACCAACCAATTGGGGCTTTACATTCCCATTGGAAAATTAGAGGCCTAGAGTGGGTAGAGGTTTGTGGTTCCACTCCCATCCTACCTGGCCCCTGACACCTATGCCCAGCATCTAGCTCTGGTTCATCCAGTCCATTCACAGAGCATCACAGCTACAGCAGGGGAGGCTCTGGGCCAGTACTAACTAATGATTAGGTAAGGCTAGTTTGTAAACAGCCTTGGCTTACTTGGATACAGAAGCATGGTGCTGACATATTTGAGAGTCTTTTCTCTAAGTTTCCCTATTTACTGAAATAGAAAGGTGCTCAGTAGGCACATTCCTTCATCCTAGCCTTCAACTCCCCAATGAGTGGGGACTGAAGGAATAAGGTTGCCTCCAGGGAGCCCTCTAGAGGAGTCAGCTTTTGCGAGGGTGCATTCCTCTGCTCTGTCCTTTAGCCCTTATGGTCATCCAGGTGCCCACAAGCTATCCTTAATGTTTCTCTGCCTCCTGATCTTCCTGCCACATTCCAATAACCAGGGACCTTTGCATTCCTCCATGAAACTGTGCCCTCCCAGAGCTCACCTGCCCTGTCTCTTGTGCTTTCCAGAGGATCAATCAGAGGAACTCTGAGAAAACATCTTTAAGCATGGGCTAAAAAGGACTGATGAGCATGACTTCCATGTCAGAGTAAGACTGTCTGACTTCTCTTGTCTTAAAAAAGTCTCTACCTCTATGACCTTTCTCCCATGTTATATTCTTCAAGCTCAGGAGGTACTGGACACCTTGACAGGCCACTACAATAACAACTTTGAACAGGAAAGGGGTGCTTTTTGTGGCATCTAAATTTCAGCACATAAGGAGTCTCTTAGTCTGCCTCTGGTGATATTAGTGTGTCCTTATAGAACAGATGTTCATTATTTGGTTTGAGATGGGAACTTTCTATCTTGCTCCTCACTCTCCCTGCTTGCCCTCTTTATGTTGGCCCCTATCTGCTTCCACTGCCCAAGACCAATAGGACCACCTACATTGGCTTTCTGCCTCCGTAAGTTTCGCCGAGTAGCCATGCCTCGGGCATATGCCTGGATGACCACCACTGCCCTTCTCCTGTCCTGGACCTCACGGCGCATCAGGTAGCCCCTGCACCGGGCTTGCAGACGGACCATCCTCTCCTGCATGGCCTGATACTGTCTTGACAGCAAGTGGCTACGAGCAATCGCCTGCAGTCGCTCAAAGCCTAGGATGATCTGCAAGAAAAGAGTGTTTATACTAACAGAAGGATTATGCCCAGTAAAGCACAGAGCATTGAGCTTTCTCAGAGGAAACAAAGAGCAGGTAATAGACCTGAGGAGACCTCGCAGGCCTAGCTTCAGAATTGCCTGCAAAGAGCTGGGGCTAAAATTTTACACATGTTGAGTATGGTTATTATTGAGTGAATTATTACTTGTAAAGTACTTACAACAGAGTCTGGCTCACAAGTAAGTGCTAAGTAAGCATGTGTTTAGTAGCATAAAGAATGATGCGGTCCCTGGTGGCCACTAATAGAGAATTGACTTGGATTTTTACATGGTAACGGAAATCCAGACACCTTACTTTTCACCTCTGTGAACAAAGTCTGGCAAACTGGTTGGAAGTTAGCACATCTATGTGGAGGTCAATGGCTGGATTCACTAATTCTTTTGGGGGTATTAAAAATGAAAGGAATAAGAGGTGGATGAGCATCCACTTCTGTGCTGCAAACATCTCCTGGGTCATTGTAGTCAGTTAATGAATTCTTGGTATGAGTTTTTGTTGACTTTCCAAGGTCCAGCCCAAGAAGGGTCAAGCTACTCTGCACTTCAGGCTGTCTGGTAGAAATGCAACACCATGCTTTAGTGGATGTGCTCCGAAGTCATCAGACTTGCATTCAACTCCCAGCTTGACTGCTTAATAACTGTGCTCTCCTGGGAAAATTGATTTACCTCTCTATTCCTCAATTTCCTTAAAACTATAATAACTACCTTAAATAAAATGATGCATGAAAAATAACAGGCCCTGAGTTGCCTTTCTATATATTTTAGCTACCACTATACCTTTGGAAACATGAAACACTGACAGGCTGTCATGGCTATTGTATGTCACAATCACAGTCCATGACAGGACACACTGTCAAATGATGCCTATGGGATAAGTGCAAGGTTCCTTTGTTCATTTATGGAGCTGATACCCATTAGCCTGTGAGTGAGAAAAAAGACTAGGAAGAAATGCTTGAAACAGAGAATAATTCATCCATTAATTTATTTTGATATCTTGAAATTAGGAAAAGTTAGCCATAATTTAATTTCAATGCCCTGCCTCTGAAATTAGAGATGCCCAAGCATCTGCAAGAGAACTGTTTGCAGCCCACAAACCATACAACCTAAGACTATGTGAAAAGGAACATTGCTTAAGGTCATTGAGGTTCTGTTAAGGATAATGAAAACATCTGAAGGTGATGATGATGAGGGTTGCACAACATGGAGAACATAATTAGTGTAACTGAGTTATACATGTAAAAATAGTTGAAATGGCAAATGTCTTGTTAAATATATTTTACCACAATTAGAAAAAAAAAAGGCAGTGTTTCTCAAAGTATAGTCCCTAGATTAGTAGCCACAGTATCACCTGGAAACTTATAAGAAATACAATTTCTTAGATCAGAAACTTGGAGGAAGAGCCCAGTAATCTGTTTTACCAAGCCTTCAGGTGATTCTGATGCATCCTCATGTTTGAGACCCGGTGAGTAAGAATAACTCACTAAAACAATGAATTGTGGTCAAGGGAGGTTCCCTGGAACATATGTTAGAATTTCTGGAAGGGATAGGAGCAGCACATGTGAATTGAAAAAGCCCCTTAAGTAATTTCGATCTCTTCCCTATACCATCCCCACTTTGAGAATTGCTGATCAAGACACTAATTTTATCATTTAAAGCAACCTCTCATGCCAAGAAAAGAGAAAGAGCACTTGCAGGTATGTAGAACATTTGAGTTCTAATTATTTTAAACAGGTGTATGCGACATCTGTTAGTGATTAATAGTTCTTACTTGTGATCTCACATTTAAATAAACAAAGATTTTAAGTTTACTTTTTATTGGACAGTATGATCCCTTGCTCCCAGATCCAGTATTTTTAGATTGTTTTCTTACCAGCTTGAAATTCTTCCTAGTGCAGAAGCCTCTCCAGTTGGCCTGGAGGGTCACAGCAGCCTGCTTCTGCCTCAAGAACTCCTTCCTGAAAGGGAATGCAAAACATGGAACAGTCCAAACATGTCATTGTGTTTGGGGAAAGATTATAAAAGCAAAAGACATATAGCCGAGTGCCAAAACCAAACCCACAGCTCTCTAGAGTATTCTAACTCATGGCAATCCTGTAAGACAGGAGTAGAACTTCCCCAGAGGGTTTCCAAAGTTGTAGATTTTTACAGAAGCAGATTGTCATATCTTTCTCCTAGAGGGTTCAAACTGTTAACTATTTAAATTGTACCTGAGCACTTAACCACTGTGTCACCTTAGGTCTTATGGTCAGGTTAGTGGAGTGGTGGTTGTGTGTCACCAAGCCGTTTCTGACTCATAGCAAGCCTGTATAGTTTGCAAAGCTGAAAATCATTACAGAAGCAGAAAGCCTTAATGTAAAATCTATCAACATCTCAATTTGCTCTTAATATTGCATGTGTGAATGAAAGGAGTCCTGTCTTAAAAGTAATCAGATACTTCTTAATTCCCTCCCATTAAGTTGGTTCCAACTCACAGCGATCCTGTATAGGGCTTCCAAGGAGTGGCTGGTGAATTAGAACCGCTGACCTTATGGTTCAAACTGACTTTGCAGCCCAGTGCTTTATCCCACAGCATCACACTAGGTAATGCAAATTAAAACCACAATGAGATATTGCTATACACCTATCAAAATTGCTAAAAAGTAAAAATAGCCACAATTTCAAACTGGTAAGGATGCAAAGAAACTGGATCACTTGTAGGCTCTCTTGGGAATGTAAAATGGTACAACTACTCTGAAACAGTTTGGTATCTATCCCAGAGAAATGATGACTTATCATCTTACAAAAATCTGTACATTAATGTTCAAAGAAGTTTTATTCTTAAAGCCATAAACTAAAAACAATCCAAATACCTGTCATCAGGTAAGCAGTTAAACTTACTGTGGTCAGTCCACAGAGCACAGTAGCTCTAGAGGATAAACACTGGACTGCAAATCACAGGTGAGTTGTTCTAGCCCACCATCTGCTCTGCAGGAGATGTACAGCCTTGGAAATCCTATATGGAGTTGCTTTGGGTTGGAACTGAATCTATGGCACTTAACAACAACAATAAAATGGCCATTCCATACTGTGAACTCAGCAAGAAAAAGAATGGATTCCACAACAATTTTGGATGATCTTCACAGATATGTTGAGTGAAAGTAGTAAACTATTTATTAAAGGTTTCATTCTGTATAATTCCATTTAGATAGCATCTTTGAAATGACAAAATTCCAGAAATAGAAATTAGTGGGTGCCTGAGTTTAAGCTTGAGCAGAAGGAAGGGAGGGAAATGGATGTGGTTATAAAAGGACAACAGGAAGAATACTTGTAATGGTGGAAATATTCTGTGTCTTGACCATGATGGTTGATACATGAATGTACATCTGATAAAACTGCACAGAAACAAATACACACTCACATGAGTACAAGCAAAATTGTGAATATGTATAAAAAACAATATTGATGGATTGTATCAACATCAATTGGCTCTTGATGACATGCTACCTCTTGAAACGGTTGAACGTCAATCATTTCTTTTTGGTACAGTGACTCTGTGTACTCCTTCCATTTTGTTTTGTTTTGTTTTAAGGTTTTTATTGTGGATTGAGTGAAAGTTTACAGGGCAGATCATCAGTTTTACATTCAACAAATCATACACTTTGTTTCATTACAATGATAATATTCTCATGTACTATCAGTTAACAGTATTTCTCTTTATTCACTTTAACTTGTTAAAAATAAAACCAAACCAAACCACTTAGGCATACATAATAATTTACATCTCCAAAAGGCACATTCTGCAAGTCTGCCTCCTGGCCACCAGCTCTTAGTCCCTCTCTCTTCCCATGAATCTAGAGTCCTCAGCTGTTCCCCCTCTCCATGTCTCCGTCTCTGATTCCATCTCTGGAGTCTCTGCTTCTCTGGATAAGGTCCCACATTCTGCTTGTGCTCTTCTCCCTTGATGGTCCTAGAGTCCTCTGTTTCTGAACTGTAAGATTAACTACTCCCCTGTTTATGTTACAAAACTTCTACCTTTACAATTGTGACAGTCGTAATTAGTCATGATAACAGTTATTCACTATTGAATCAAGACTCTTATCCCCATCTCTTTTCACCAGACCCATCTAGACAAGATGAAAACTATTCAGTGGGGACTCATTCTACCCCCAACCCCAATCTTAATCTAAACTCCCTCTTGAAACCTTGTAAGACAGTCACTCTGTGCCTTTAATAGGCCCTAATTTTAGGCAAGATTCGGAGTCCTGGTGTGGTGCTGTGGGTTAATGCGCCAGACTCCAAGGCTGTTTAACTGCAAGGAGCAGAAAGCCTCATCTCTCTCACACAGAGGGCCTTGTGGATTCGAGCTGCTGACCGCAGGGTTTGCAGTCAGATTTTTAACCACTACACTACCAGGCCTTCCACCTTCAAGATGGCAGTTCGAGTAGACGTGTAGTGAGGAGCTCGGTCAACAACAATATGGAATACCAGGCCAAGAGGGCTCATGAGATGGTGTTGGAGCTCTAGAACAAATATAAAGGTACGTTTGGAGGATCGGAGGGCTTATAGCTGGGAAATTTGCAGGAGAATCCAGAAATCCATCTGGATTATTTTCTGGATCAAGACACTCAGCTGTTCCAGGAGCCGCCATCTTGGGAGAGTATATATTGATTGTATCAGGATTGATAGGATTAGGAGAGAACATCTTGATTGTATCTTGATTATATCAGGATTGTATCAAAATTGACATAGAAATTTAAAGAGACAGTATAGACATAAAACCAAACGGCTACCACTCGTCTGTCTGTCGTGCTATGGTGGTTTGAGTTGCTGTGATTCTGAGGGCTCTGCCACCAGTATTTTAAATAACCAGCAGGGTCACCTATGGTAGACAGGTTTCAGATGAGCTTCCAAATAAAGACAGACTAGGAAGAAAGAGTGACAAACTACTTCCGAATCACTAGTCACTGAAAACTCTATGAATAGCAGAGAAACACTGTTAGCTACAGGATCGGAAGGTGGAAAGGCACTCAGAATGCGACTGGGGAAAAAAATGCCTCCTTAAAGTAGAGTTGACCATGATGATGTGAATAGAGTTAAGCTCAGGGGAGAAAAGCTCACAGAA